GCCGTACAGGTGAGTACATTTATTTTCTCTGACTATAGATCAGGTAAGGTGCCGTAAAGGTGAGTAGAGAATTTTTTCTAGACTTGGGGACCAGGTGAGGTGCCGTACAGGTGAGTACAGTTTATTTTCTCTGACTTGGGGATCAGGTGAGGTGCCGTACATGTGAGTAGAGTTTATTTTCTCTGACTGTAGACCAGGTGAGGTGCCGTACATGTGAGTAGAGTTTATTTTCTAGACTAGGGACCAGGTGAGGTTCCGTACAGGTAAAAATTTGCTCTGCTCTTGGGTTTAAGGACCAGGTAAGGTACCGAACAGGTAATAATTGCACGGCTCTTAGGTCTGGGGACCAGGTAAGGCACTGTGCAAGTAATATATGCACGGCTCTTAGATTTGGGGACCAGGTAAGGCATCGTACAGGTAATAATTGTGCGGCTCTTAGGTCTGAGGACCAGGTTAGGCACTGTACAGGTAATATATGCGTTGCTCTTACATCTGGGGACCAGGTAAGGCACTGTACAGGTAATATTTGCAGAGCTCTTAGCTCTGGGGACCAGGTAAGGTACCATACATTTGCATGCGTGCATGTGGCCCCTTTTTATCTGGGGACCAGGTAAGGCACTAATGTATAGGTATATTTGCATTGTCCTTTATCTTCAACTAAGAGACTATACAGGTAATGTTTGTTCGTAATGGTTCATAGCTCTTGAGACCTGGTAAGACCATACACTTCAGATACGTTTGGTCTTTTGTACCTAATTTTTTGGTTATTGACATCTCTGTATATATATACTGCTGGCCTAGATTATTTCTCTTTTTTTCAGTGCATTTGCCAAAAAGGAGAAACTGATCACACAGCAGGAGCTGGAGATGTCTATGCATCACATTCTGGAATTCTTGGAAGTGCCAGCTTTACTTCTCAACAAGAACATGAATGCTGAACCCTGACTTATGTTTATATTAATTCTGAAAGGTTGTTTCACCAAATGGTAGAATAACTAGAACTTAGTAGAAGTAAATTGTATGATGAACTGCACAAAAATTCTGCATTTGTTTGTTTGCTTGTTTGTTTTCTATTTGTCTGAGTCGCATGTACATGTATAACAATATTTATAAAAACTGTGTTTAAGGCCATACCAATTTAATTTCTTGGTTAACGGCTTCGCCCGCTTCATTTTTTTCTGATTTGCAAATAAAAAAATTCAGAATCAACCTCAAAATGCTCATATTTGCCCTTAACAGTTAAAACAGTCATTTTCATCCTACTTGTTACAGTTATTCCATCTTTCAATGCAATGGTATCATTAAAAGTTCAAAATCCATTGTTTAAATGTTGAACCAGCGTTTACTTCATGGCTCCATAATAGGATGCCTAGGCCTGTTTTTATTTTTTATTTTCGCCCGCCCACTCCATTATTTTTCTAGAAAAATCTGTTAACCAAGAAATTAAATTGGTGTGGCCTAAGGCATAACATTTTATAGTAACTAGATTCATTACCTCTAGTACCTCTGGACATTTCCCGTATATTGATAATGCATTGTATATTATTTTTAGCACAATTCAATTATTATTAAAGCTGAAAATACACCTTTTCACTCTTGTTTCGATAGACTTTTATTTTCAGTGTAGTTCAAGTCAGTATACAATACATGAACTGCAAATACACAGCATCAAAATCATGTATCCCACCATAATACTTGAACGCACGCCTGTCATTAACAATCCCAGTACTAGTAGTGACCGAGTAAAGACTAAAACGACTGTAGAATGAACGGTCTGTGCAGTTTGGAGGTAATGTACTTGATGGAAAGGACAGCCTTAATCGGAAGTTAATCCGTTTAGGACTTTTTCCATGGTTGCACTCAAGCTTTCTTGAGGAACGTAAACCTTTGTTTTAAAAAGTTTAGAGAAATCTATGCTTTCATGGCGCAAATTTCAACTGAAAATGACTCGATGACCAAATACGGTATCAGATATCTGGAATGAAAAACAGTTAATATGAATATGGTGATGCTGGCATCTGTATGCTATATGGCCAGTTTAACTGCCCCTTGGCATAATGGTACATTACATTAGATAATGCTGGAGAAACTAGAGTTTAGTAGCCTGATACCCTTTCTGAGGCAGCAGTTTTCCTGGGTAGCATTTTGAAGAGAGATTGTCTCAAAGATCAGGTCATCCAAGTTAAATTTTACCAGGTAAAGTACAGTACAGGTGACGTAGGTGTGTTTCTGGGCACTAAAGATCAGGTAAGACCAGGTAAGGTACCACACAGGTAACATAGGTGTGTTTCTGGGCACTAAAGACCAGGTAAGACCAGGTAAGGTACCGCACAGGTGACATAGGTGTGTTTCTGGGCACTAAAGACCAGGTAAGACCAGGTAAGGTACCGTACAGGTGACATAGGTGTGTTTCTGGGCACTAAGACCAGGTAAGACCAGGTAAGGTACCGTACAGGTAACATAGGTGTGTTTCTGGGCACTAGAGACAAGGTAAGACCAGGTAGTGAACCCAAGTCAAAGGAAATACACGTAACTTACACGTAACTCACCTGTAAGGTGCCTCACCTGGTCTATTGTCAACCCAAGTCAAAGGAAATACACGTAACTCACCTGTAAGGAACCTCACCTGGTCCATAGTCAACCCAAGTCAAAGGAAATACACGTAACTCACCTGTAAGGTACCTCACCTGGTCCATAGTCAACCCAAGTCAAAGGAAATACACGTAACTCACCTGTAAGGTACCTCACCTGGTCTATAGTCAACCCAAGTCAAAGGAAATACACGTAACTCACCTGTAAGGTGCCTCACCTGGTCCCCAGACCTGACAGCCCTGCAATTATTACTTGTACGGTGCAAATGTTTCCTGTATTAGCTGCCTTACCTAGTCCCAGAGCTAAAAAAAGAGCCCAGATGTAAGAGCCACACAAAATATAACGTTGATAACCAATTTGGTCCCCATTACCTACATGTAACGTTATATGGAGTGTTACCTGGTCCCCAGAGCTTAAATCCCCTCAAATATGATCTGAACTGTGCTTTTCCTTGTCCCCAGAGGTAAGAGCCACACAAACGCAGTGAATATAGACGTAAAAGTTGACGTTTTTGCACGTAAATCGAGGGAAAGACGCAGGTAGCCCTCCCCACACTACCGAAACTGAGGTATTGCTGAAGCATATGAGTAGCAGTCCAGTGTTCTGTCCAATAGCAGCGTGGCTGTTCATCGTCACGCGTACTACGGCACTTCCGGTGACCTCCAGTGACCTCCGCCTCGTTTTCGACCCCTACCCTTAGCCCAATGTGAAAAAGTATCTCCCCTGCGTCTAGTGGCCTAGAGTCGGGGACAAAGAACGAGAAACACCGCCAACACATTTCCGGTCGTCGCTGGCGACTCATGCCCGGCCACAAGTGGCTAGAAATGGAGGTGAAACAACCTTCTAGAACACGTTTGAAAAAGGTTAACAGCTTTCTAAACCCCGGGAAAGGTGGGGTTTACGAAGGTTTGAGGGCGACACAGAAAATCTACGCACTGACAGTGAAGAATGAATGGACGCCGGCTGGGCGTGATCTTCATAGGTTCGAATCCCGGAGGGTTTTTTTCGCCTTGACAGAACGGAAAATCGCCTCCAACCCGCGGATAAAACATCTAGAAAGGCTGAACACACACCCGTCTTGAATGTCGGGCAGAAAAAACGGGAAATTTCGGCGAATTTTATGGTTGTCTCGAGAAAAAGCGGAGAAAATTGAGACCCACTCACCTGCTGGCAAACCGGCAAAATTTATCAGCTGAACTAAACCGGCGGTCTGCGCATGTCTATTGCGCAGGGTGATTCCATTCCATACGTTTTTAGAGGGAGTTTCTTTTTCATTTTTTTCCAAACCCATTGAATGGAACAAAAAATTACAATGAATTTTATACTTTTTCATTTAACCTGGATAGTGTGATGGAATAGATCTAGCATAATGCAGGATTCCATAAGCTTTCCCGCTATAAGGATATCTAATTACTACGACAAAAGAGAGAACTTTTTCACAAGCTTTATTCAAGGTCATTGTAGTTATAACCTCCTTCCTTTATTGGCTTTCAAGCTATTAAACAAATACTACAAGCATCTTCTAATCTCCAAGCAGAGGTAACTGTAAGACAGTATCTTTGTGGCCAGGTTGTATCCCTTTGCCAGGTAGTTACATGTACCATTTGCCAGGCATTAAAACTCCAGTGCAGAAATTTAGCCAAATAAAAAGGCCTAAAACACATCCAAAATAAGTCATATATACATGCTTGGAGAGTAAAAAACAAAGCTTGAGATAGCCACAAGTTAACGCATATATAGTGAGAACTAGTGATTGATCATATCATTGTATTCACCGTTATATCACCTCCATACATAAATTTACAATTAGCCCTCCGGCATGTATTCACAATATAATAAAGCGGTATTGAGAAATGGAACGGTCCATAAAATCTGTCAGGTCATTAACTGTGGCTGTGATATTAACTGTTCGTCCTTAGATGTGGGCATCGGGTCATAAGTAGATAATTACCCAAGGGAGTGAAGCAAATAGTTGTAGTTGCCATTGACGAAAATTATTCTGTTGCGATTGCTTAGCTGCAGTTCATAGTTATCTCGCTAGGTAGTGCTCCTACAATAAACAATGCGCTACAAACATAAGGCCACAGCAAGTAAATTTTATGGATGACATCCGCCCAGACTCAAAATCTAATGCGAGCGGGCGAAAAAAAACAAACAAAAAATAACAAGGCGGGCCGAAAAAAACAAGGTTCCTACAGTTTAAAATTTTGACTCAATCATTGTACAAATTGTTTTGATTCAGTGGGAACATCACATATACACAGCCATCATCACATATCACTGTATCAAAGTAAGAAACAAAGCATTAAATCAGAGCCTTTTCTTGTCTCCTAGCTCTCTTCATATTTATCTGCCATCCACCTTCTGGCATGGCAACAGACATCTTTGCCCGTTTTCGCCATGTTGACCACTGTCAGAAGGCAACAAAATTTCTTTTTTTTTTTCCAAAATCAGGCGAAAATTAATGCGCGCGCTGATGTCATCCATAAAAATTACTTGCTGTGGCCTAATGTAGTTTTAGCTGGCTATGATAATAATAATTTGCCATGGGAGTTGTCATTTGCTGGTGCAGGTGTTACACTTAAATGTTACCCTTACCGCGACTCACTCCCCTGACTGACTATTGACGCTATTTTTGCCGAATAATTTTACTATCTATAAGAGGAATGCCAGTTTTTCTATATATAAAAGGCCTGTTGGAGGCTACAAGTTAGCCTCAGATGGAAATTTAAGAGTAGGAATTGGACAAATAGAGGGATAACATACCAGGGGAGTTGGTCCGCTAGAGAGTACAGTTTGCCGCTAGCTGACCACAACTCATCTGGAATGTTATCTCTCTATTTGGCCAATTTCTTTCTACATGTATTTCGAACTCTTTAATTTCCAGCCGCCTCCCGAAGCCTGGTAGAGGCTACCGTTAGTCTATACTATAGTAGACGTTGTTTGCTAAGGGCGTTCATGACTCAGGCTAGGGTGTCGTCGCTTCACCAAAGGGATTCCCCTTCTCAGTCACGTGCACGTGACCACCTTCAGACTGTAATACAAAAATTGACAAACTTTTAAGAATATATTTCGTAAATTGTAAATTCACGAAGTTATTAGATGAATATATTGCTCCTTGCTGGGCTGACTAGTGACAGTGAAACTGCACTCGGACTTCTGCACTTCTGCTATATTCTGCTTCTAGATATATATTCTACTTATACTTATACTTCAACTTCTAGTTCTACTTCTACTTCTACTTCTGCTTCTACAGCCTAAAGAAGAATTTATATTACAACTGTGCAGGCTGAAGTAAAAACTAGCGAATAACTGTTTCGGCCATTCTATCGTGTATTGTAAAAGCTGATATATGCATTAGTTTCTAGTAGGGATGTGTACCGGTTCGATGAACGGAGTCCGGCCCTTTAAAAACGTTTCTGTTCAGGTAAAAAAAACGAAACCCCGTGTACGTTTCGGTTTTGGACTCATAATAAAATCTAGCACTCACATATATCCTTTGCGTTCTAGACCATCTAAAACCTTCCATAGATCGTGAAATCTGCGATAGAAACTTTCTACCTTCATACCTGTTCTACATTCATACCTGTTCCTCGTGGGTGCTGTATACCACAGGGATTTCGGTGTGGTGCCCACAGTGTGTGCATGTAGCGGTCACGGTCAGGTGGGCTCCCGGGCTGTACTGCGTCACTTCAGCAGCCGCCCCCGGGCCCTGTGACGTATACGTTTGACAACATGAAAACACGAAAAGTGTCAAACACATTACAAAATCCAGGGGACCAACACATGTAGTCGGCTCAGTTCCTTGACCAAGATATCTCCTCCAAACTACTCACTAAACTAACAGCAGAAGTCGTCTAGCCAGTACACCGGACAGCCATTTTGTTCAAAACAACTTCTATTTGCCATGCGTAGAAGATAGAAGATCATAGAAAGTTCCTTTTTACTAGCCCATCCCACCCATTTCGGTTGAAATTGGTACGGTCCGTCTACCGGCGGTGCCTGGCTTGTTGCATCCCGGGAAGTGCTCCTCAGTCCAGGATACGCTCTGTTTTGGCCGATGGAGTTTTGGATACTCCACCGCTGGCCCTGGGGTCGGCAGGCAGGGCACGCGTCAAGTGTCACAGACACTGCAGCTCTACATGTACCTTTGGTTTTGAAACAACTTTGAAGATACCGTGAACACACGCACACATGATACAGGTACAAGTAACACGCATCATGAGATACTAGTACATAAAATAAATTGATCGAGAAAAAAAAAAAAGAGGAACTTCTTCGGGTGGGCCATTGTATACTGGCAAATGAATACTGCTTGGCCAATCTTGCACTGTTATCTCATTTTACGCGAACCCAACGTAAAAAAATACCAGTGCAAAAAAGAAAGCCCGATAAAGAAGCCTAAAAACACGCCAAAAATAGGCCAAAACCAAAACCTCTGCTCATATACAATGTGCTGCCTTTGCAGTCACCAAACTTGATCTGCATGGAGATTATTAATTACATAAACGACCATTGCAGTCTGGGTCTATAGCGCCTAACAACACAGAGAGAACTGACACAACAAAAGTACAGCGACTTTCGTAAGGTCTAAGACATGTAGATATAACTTTACAGACAAATTCATGGGTACAACGAAATTTATTAATATAACCTACGTACAAAACAATAGATTAGTCAACTAATACTACTTGTTTTAAGGTCTAAACATTCTTTGATATATTTACCTATTTGTACACAGTAAGGGTCATTACCTTCTAGGATGAAATTAAATTTATTTACAGCGTGAAATGTAACAAATTCTGTTGAGCAGGCGGAGAGAAGGTTGATCAGCTTTGTGCGTTTATCATTATATACAATTCAAAATAAAATGTTGTTCGTCTTCAATATCATTGGGACAGAATATAAAAAAGCGGAACACGGTAGCAGTAAATCTACCAGGTTTCACAACCAGTACAGGCTGCGTCAACGATCTATAATTAAGTTTTGAGTGGCTCTCTCATGAGCCTTGTTTTGTGGTGACCTATGAAGTAAAGTTATTAAAAAAATAAGTTATAACGCTAACTCTCACCTGAACAAGGTGGTCGGCCCTTCCGCAAGAAGGAAAGTCCTTCTTACAGCCAGGATTGGAACATGTCACGGCGCATTCCACCAATAACTTGAAATAAGTTTTCTTCTGAAATTCTCTCGAGTCAGCTTGTTGCATCTTGACGAGATAAGATACATGCGCTCATACACGTTCACGCGTACCGCATCATGTGCGCAATATCTATGCGTGTGGTAGCCGGTAGCGGCTACCGTCGGGCGACCACACGTAGTACTGATACTGCGTCACTGTTTACATCTCTAACACGTGCAGGCAAGGGGAACTTGACAAACACGTTCGCATTGTACCATAGTACCTCGGAAGTTTCACGCCTACTTTGGAAGTTTCTCGCGGTCAATCACCAGTACAATGAGAACGTGTTTGTCAGAGCTAGGGTGGGTGACACTATTGTTAAACTGAAATGTCAGTAGTTGCCGGAGTGACGGCAGCCGGACATAACGGAAGAAGAAGCTCGAATACCAAAACGTTGACTCATGGCCAATTCCCGGAATTTCGATCAATTTTGACTTTAGGACTTTTATTTGAACAGATCTTGTCTACATCCGGACGGGACTTACCCAAATTTTTGGCCATAAATTCCATTAAATTGTGAACATACAGAGTACTAAAGAATACTTACGGCGAGGAAAAGTATCTAAAATTACAAATACAAAAATTCTGCATGTAGAAGTTGTGTGCAAAAACACCGCTACGAAATAAGTTATTTTGCCGAATTCTACAATCTATAAGCTGTCCTGTTGGAGGGTATATCATATGTTTTCTACATCAGACGTTCTTGTGTAGGCGGTCATGGCGGTAGGCGCGTTCTGTTGTTCATGACTCATGCATGACGTCTCTTCACGAATGGGACTTCCCCTCTCAGTCACGTGACCACCTGCAGGCTGCAATGTACGTATTAAATGTTTTGAAAGTTTATCGTTGAATTCAGAAAGTTTGATGAATTTATTGGTTTATTTTGGGTCGAGGAGTAACACTATACTCTGGCTCATGGACAAGTTCCGCTTAAAAAAAAACAACAGTTTAACAAGAATTTAAACGTGTACTCGTAGTAAGGTATACGTGAAGCCACACTATGCTGTACAAACTATGCTGTGGAACGTAACTTCACTGATTGCCACAAGCAAAATGTTTTATCACTCTAATCTCTATTGGCAATCTGAAAAATATGCCTTAGTATTTGCATTATCTTTATACCTGTTCCTCGTGGCCACAGTAGACGATAGGAACTTCTGTGACGTGGTGACAGTACGGGCAGGTGGCGGTAACGGCCAGCCCGGCTCCCGGCCTGTCTTGGGCGACACGACCGGCAGCTGTTCCGACAGCAGTGCTACCGGGAACTGCAGCCGCCGCCGCCGGTTGGCCCTTAAACAAAGATACGAGAAATTTGGTCTTTGCGCGCTTTTACAAGTTTAGTCTCTTCAGACGTTAGAGATTAATTTTATGACATTTCGGCTTTCTTTTCACAGTAAAATTGCGCTTGTGTGAACTTCTTGTTTCACACGGGAGAGCTTTATCCTATACACGCAATCCAGCCCGTGTTTCGACTTTCTTTAGCTTAAAAAACGTATAAACCTAATACATACTCGTAGAAAATTCAAAATCTACTACTGGATAAATTACGGAGATAACCAGCCGCCCATAGACTATTGCACCCCGGCCACGTTTGTATACGTGCACGTAGCGGGTACACGCCTTCTCTGGGCGGCTGGTTGTATGGGCTGGCCGGCGAAAGAACACAGAACTCAATATCGATCAAAACTCCCACCCGCCCGGATCGGAGGCCTGCACAGGAGGCTAATAAAACAAAAAAATAGTCTAGTCCTCTACACCACGAAACATCACGGGATCGGACCGTGCTGGTACACTTAAAAGTTAGCCGTTCTGTGATATGGCGTCGACCGTTTCAAAAGGCGTCGACCGTTCACGAGACGGAAATTAGCAGCGCCGCATAACAAAATTGGTGAAATTCGACAAAACGATGAAGAAAGTCAGATAAATACATAAGAGTTATAAGTATAAACTAGTTGGGAATACATTGATTTGACTATGTTAATCTGCCTTGATTTGATTTGATTTGATTTATTAGAATTGCAAACAAGTACAATACTCGTGGACCACAGGCAGCGGGGGCTGGTGTTGTGGCCCACACACAAAACAATCACAAGCACACAAACAAGACACACATTTAAACCTAATATAAGTATATAAAAATAAGTATAAGGGTACTAAAAACAGCATAGATTAGAATACTAGTGTATCAGTCCATTTAGTACTAGATACAGTTCATGCGGTTTCTAGCCGCCAGAATGTTCTCCTGTCTGGGGCCACGTCTCCGGGTCAACTGGTGCTTCTGCTGTATGAGCAGGTGGGCCTGACACATGTTCTTAAATATACTAATGCTGCGGGCCTCTCTAACAGACTGAGGCAGCTGATTCCACAGTCGTGACGCATAAGGCAGAAAGCTGGCCTGGTACGTCTGTGTACGGCACCGAGGTAAGTGGAGGTGCGTAGCGTTCCGCAGCTGAACACGTGTCACCCTTTGGTCTCCTCGTGTGGTGGGAGTTAGTGGCTGGAGGTGAGGGGGACTAGTCCGTTCACCAGTTTGTACATCAGAACCATAGAATGGAACTGCCTTCTGGTGGACAGACTGTCCCATTCTAACTCCTGCATGACGACACTTGATGGTGTACGTCTCATGGCTCCGGTGATGAGGCAGCCGGCCTGGTAATGCACTCTCTCCAACATCTTGCTGGATGAGCAGGACAAGTCCCCGAGCAGTACGGCGGCGTACTCCAGTTTTGGTCTGACCATTGTGTTGTACGCCATTTCAAGTGCCTCCCGGGATAGCTTGCCCTGGAGTTTCCATAGGAAACCCAGGGTTCGCCTGGCCTTACTGGTTGTAATCTGGACATGTTCAGTCCAGCGTAAGGTTTGGTGAATGGTTGTTCCCAGGTGGGTGTAGAACGGCACTTGTTCAACTTCCTGCCCTGCGATGTATATGGGAGGAAGCTGCACCTTGCTTCTAGGGGACTTGATGCAAAGTACTTTGCATTTATCTGGGTGAAGTTGGAGACCCCAGTCGAGGAACCAGGTAGATACCAGCTCGAGGTCGATGTTAGTTGTTCTGGCCACTACCTGGGCGGTTGGTCCAGACTTGGAGAGCGAGGTGTCGTCAGCAAAACAGTTTATATTCGAGGAGCAGGGGAGTTCTTTTATGTCGTTGATGAACACAAGGAACAATAGCGGGCCTAAGATGCTTCCTTGTGGCACGCCAGCCTGCGTGCTTCCCCAAGTAGATGCAACGCCATTGATCACAACACGTTGCTGTCGTCCGGCAAGATAGTCCGCAAACCAGTTGTTCAGGGGCCCCTTGACCCCATAGCGGGACAGTTTATAGATGAGGCCATCATGCCAGACGGTGTCGAATGCTCGACGGACATCCAGAAAGACAGCAGCTGAACAGGAGGTGTTAGGGTCATCTATGGACTTGGCCCATTCGTCTACGAGACGCAAAAGCTGCAGCACTGTTCCATCCCCTTTCTTGCCTTTTTAATGAGCAAGGTCGATGGCAACAAACACCGTAAAAATCCGTGCCATACCAGGGTGCGTGCTTTGTTATGTTCCCCCATTATATTCTGTCTATTTGCCCCATTATACTAACCTGCATGCGCAGGTGATCGGTCCGTCCACACACGGAAAGCTCCCGCTTACAGTCAGGATTGGAACATGTCACGGCGCATTCCACCGATAACTTGAAATAAGTTTTCTTCTGAGATTCTCTCGCATCTGGTTGTTGCATTTTGTCCAAATATAGGTCAGCGGCAAGACACACTAGCAGCTTCGTACCTATTTAGTTCTATATGACTCATATAGTTATTGTCACTGCGGTAGTGCCGCTGGTAGTGCCCGGGTGTTCCGCAAAGAAAACATGCGCAACGTAAACGCTGACGGAACGAACTTTTGTCTCTAGCTGTCCTGACCTGAGACTCGGTCACATATCTCGATTTCCCTTTGAGTATTGTGTTGTGTCCCAAAGTGTGCCGCCCACGGTGGCCTAAGTTCAAACAAAGGCTAGCACCCGGCTGGCAGAGTTGACCAGGAGACTCAGGACCCGTAAAGTGAAACTTGGCAACCGTTCTGCCTGAGGAGATTGTTACACGCAGTTGTCGCAAGGTGAATGTCGGGAATCATATCCGGAAAACAAGCGTTTGGGGCGTTTTGAATGAAAGCCATGACCAACAAATCGGACTGGAGGGAGAGGGTAGACCGGGAACATTCGACCTGATGATGATGACGATGAATGAAAGCTGTCTCTGCGAAAAAGCTATATCTCAACCCAAACAAGCCTAGCCTGGGTACAATCCTATTTGTATACCGGTGTTCTCCCAATACTCGCTTCCCTACTTGTCAGATGTTATACCATACTCGCTTCCCTACTTGTTAGGAAGCGAGTGTGGGAGCCCCGGCGTACAAATAGGATGGTACCCAGGCTAAAACAAGCCATCACATCGAAAAGACATGGACGTACCGTAGTATTGTGTTTTCTACCTCCATGACAGAAATAAACGCCTACCCGCTAGAAGGCTGCGCATGCACCACCTAGTTTATTACTCCTTGGTAGATCAGTACATCAAAGTACATAAGGCCACAGCAAGTATTTTTTATGGATGACATCAACACGTGTATTCTTTCTCTTGATTCTGGAAAATGAAAAATAAAAAAAAAACAAGAAATTTTGTTGCTTTCTGATAGTGGTCAACATGCCCAAAATGAGAAAAGATGTCTGTTGCCATGCCGGAAGGTGGATGGCAGATCATGAACTATGAAGAGAGGAGACAAGAAAAGGCTCTGTTTTGTTTCTTACATTGACGCAGTGATATGTGATGCTGGCTGTGTATATGCGATGTTCCCACTGAATCAAAACCATTTGTACAATGATTGAGTCAACATTTTAAAATGTAGGAACCTTGTTTTTTTCGGCCCGCCTTTTCAAAAGGGAGAAAAGTTTTCTCCCGCTTGCATTAGATTTGGAGTCTGCGGAGGACGTCATCCATAAAATTTACTTGCTGTGGCCTAACAATACGAAAGTCATTTACGTTAGATGCTATAGTAAGCTGTTGCTATCTAAAATTCTACACACAGAAAAGTTTTGTGTCCAAAAACGCTACGAAATAAAAGACTTGTCACATTTGCTTGTATCGCCATTGCGTGCACGCGCCCAAACATAACGACGTCAGCATACATTAACTAGTGACGTCACTACAGCATATTATGGGCTGTCCGCCACCATTTCCCCGCAAATTTTTGTCGCCATTTTAGAGGAAGAACCAGACAAGGTTTTCTTCAAATTCGTCCCATCGGAGGGGAACAGAGCCGAAATTCAAGCAGTTTTGGATTCTATGGGACACATCGGATAATTTTCGTGGGGATCGTAGGGCTGAAAAAGGCGGGAAAGAGTCGAGTAAATGCGGAGCGGCACCGGCGCCCCCCCACCCTTGAGCTCCAGTGGACGTTGGAGTTTGGATTCGCGCCCAGAGTTTTTCTTTCGTATGGCGACTTGACATTGGTGTTTGGTGCTGGTTTTGACTGACAACTGCCTCTTGAACCCAATTTCTAAGATATCGTGCAGGTAAGTTGACTCGGTTGTCACCACAGACGCCTAATTCGCTTCAAACGTCGGGTTTCGACGACTAAAAATTACATGTCATAGCTAGACTACAAACGTACTGTACGCCGGTACCACGGCATACTGCGTTTGGGTTCAGTGTTTTTCCTCGCGAAAAACACCACAATCGGCCAATTTTAGACCCACCAAGACTTGTTTTATGGTCTCTACATTGTCTAGAGCTGTTCAGACGATGTGAAGAAGGTTTTATAGATTGCGTAGGAAGAATTTTATGCGAAGCGGGGGCGGAATCGTTTCTATCTAGTTGGTACCTGTTCGAAAAATATAGACATGTTTTGATGTGAAAACGCCGGTTTTGTTTTAGTGATAAAAGTCGTAGGACAAAATTATCCATTTTACCAATCCAACAAACATTTAGACACGGTAGATTTACACAGATTTTTCATTATTTTGCATGTCAGTATTGTGTTTTCTACTTCTTTAGGTGCCATGTAAATGACAACTGTAGGGTTTTTGCTATGTTGTAAGTAACCGCCATATCTTAAGTGTTCTAACTCTACCCTTTTTACTTTGACATTTGAAAGCTTTTATGTTTAGGTACAGCTAGATATGCCAAGTAAAATGCTCCTTTAGTACAAATGTATATAAGTTGACACAATAATATTAAGATGATCACAGTTAGGTTGTGTTGTACATGTACAAAGTGTACATGTATGTTTGCAAGCAGTTAGCTATGCCCCCCTCCCCCTCAAAATTTAAGCGTGATGCAATGATGCATTATGAAAAAATCATATCTCTACATCATATTAGTACATACACCCAAAAAATATTCTACTAAAGATTCTACAAAAATGTTCCTAAATTTGTCATTTGCATTAATTTGTATTGAGAATAAGATGAATTTCTAGCAGATGTCAGTGTTTAGATACTACAATTTAGTGAAAAGTCATCTATGACATGTGATTTTATTGTGTTGATTATGTGTTAGATGTATTTATCTGCATAGTCGGGCAAATTAAGGTTTCATACAAGTTTTAGCAGGTGTAAAACTTGTCTAAAAGTTAACGTTGTTTTCTTGTTTTCTGCCAACTTCAAAGCAAAATGTAAATTTTATGGGTGGGAAGCAAGCCAACCAATCAGAGAGAAGATTGCATAATGTTGTTTAGGGATAGGGGCTTCGTAAGAGGTAGGGTTTACCACAGTACAAGACTTTTAGTTATTATACATATTGTACATATTGAAGGTAAGATTGGAGCTCTTTGCTATTTTGGTGTAACTGTTTTATAACAAACATATCACACATACAGAAATGACCTCAATATCACGTCTCAATATTCATATCATAGTCAACACCAGACAAATTACACTATGAAAGCATAGCAAAATTCTTGTTTTCCGTTCCTTTTTGCTAAAACGGTGTAGCTGACATGGTTTGACTTAAATTGTTGTGACAGAGCGTTCTTTGATTTTGAACGTATACATAGATCAAAGAATGCTATTTCTGGACGGGAACTTAAAATCCCCCTTTCCCGGTAACTCCTGCTGTGAAATCTTAAAAGATAAATGACTTTACCATACCATAAATAATGTATCTATGTGTTTGTGGTCAGCACTTTTAGTTAGCATAATAACACGATGATTATGGCTTACATGTATGGACTGGCTATCTGTATCTAACAATAGACCAGGTACTTCTATTGTTTGGGCTAGAAAAGAACATAGTGGCCTACCTGTAGTTTTAGTTGTTTATGATGATGATTACATACAGTAGCAGTATTTTATTTTGTGTTGATATCTTTGCAAAACAAGGATATTTATTCTTTAATCTTGGAAATCACATTTTTTGGTATTCTGGAACTGATAAGTGCTCATTTTTTTGTAATATTAGCCTTTTTGTAACAAGCTGATTTGATGTATGTTTGGTCTAAAATTGTTTGTATCATTGTCACATATGCAAAGTTAAGACTAATCTAAATTCAAAGATCATGTTAAGTATTCTGAGGACAACTGCTTGCTAATGTCAAACAACATTAGAATGAGTATTTTATAAAGATGATTTTATAAAGCAGTTTTAAGATTGATTTTCAACCAGGGCACTGATGCAAAATTTATGATTAGTACATTCAAAATTCTATTGGCAAGGGAACAAAACAAAACAAAATCTTTACCTGTACACTTTGGCCTATCTTCATCAGGCATACCAGTACACACATGTACATGTGTAAATGTTATATCTTGCAGTAGTAAACACGAATTATTTACAATGAGCTTTTACTTTTTTCCCACATGACTTGAAGGACAATGTGCAGCGAGGTAGCCCTCTAGTAAGTGACAGATAATCCATTTGCAGCAGCCCTACATGTGTGCGTGGGTGGGAAGTGTTTTAACATTCTCAGCACAGAGTGTACGGGCGCGCAATCATGGACCTAAATTATGGCAACGTGAGGGAACTTCCCAATTGTCCATTGTCTTGCTGAAAGCATTTTTTTTAAACAAGGCCGTTTTATATATGAGAGGCTATAAAAAGCATGAAACAATTGGTCTAAATTTGTGACCTTGCTTTAGATCCGTAACAAGAAAAGGTAATGTATGAAATCAATAAAAAGATCAAGCAACAATATTGCTGTAGTAAAAAATACCATTTTAGTTTTCCTTTCGTAGGATTCTTTAACAAATACAGAATATTTTAGCATTCAATTCAATTCCTATCATGCATCGATTTTATGCCATATAAATTATAGTAAATGATTATATTTGTAATTTTATTAAAAGATTTAATTCTCTGTGCAAATGTTGCAAATGTTAGTAACAGTAGAGAGAAAATTGTACTACAAAATGTATTCTGCGTTTTGTGATACAGCCATACACATGTACATGCTCAGTCAGTGCTGCTTGTTTTTGGGTCTGGAAGGGTTGCAAAGCAGTATGGGTGAGGGGGTGAAGTCTGCCATCTCTGATGGCCTTGTCACTCTTGCCTTGAGTAAGACATGACCATATCACGACTCTCAGACTCAGAGTCCTTAAATATCTATTTGACCTTGTGTAGAAACTGGTAATGTGTCAATCCCTCCGAGAATCAATCATTTCTGGATGAGTTCTTTGAACTAAAAATCCAGGCTGTGTAACCGATATCCTCACCGCTACTTGGGTTACAGTGTTTATCATATTTTGGGACTAACTAATGCTATTTTGTTCCTGTGATCTGATCTCAGTGATAAGATGAACTTTAGTCTTCCTTGTCTCATGTTATATGGCCATGAGTGTTAACCATAACTCGAGAATACTGTACCGTGGTAGTCCCAAGTAATTATAATAATTGATCTTTTTCATTATGTTTGCTCATTGCTTATGTTTTGAGGTCAAAATTGCAAAATTTTGCTGTCGTTTGATAGTAGAATGTGATAGTATGAAATTAGAATATGCATGATCGAACTTGTGGTCAATTATTGAGCATAAATAGATGTTAATAACTTGATACACAACTTATATATGTACATTCAAATAGGAAAGGTCAGAAAAAGACATGGTACCAGCATGCTTCGCAATTTCATGCATTGTAATCCTCATACATATACATGTACAGGTACATGACCTATATACACTAGTAAAATACGGACATTGTACATGTATTTTTGCCCATTTTTGTTGTGGTTTTCTTTTCACTGTTTTTGTGGTGACCTCTTGAGCGAACTCATACCACAGTGACACTATGAGTATGAGTGTAAACAAGTATTTCCCATGTGCTTGTATTATGCTGAGGTCACATTTCCAAACTGGGGCCCGGTCAGGCAGTCCTATGGTATGGAACGAAAAGTATGGTATAAAAGACATCAAAGCACAAAATTGAAAAAAAAAATTAACAATGGGAACTATTTGTGTATAAATTGTTGATTTTTCGTCAAACGAAATGGCCTGGCCTGGCCCCAGTTTGGAAATATGACCTCAGCATTGGTAATACTACTGTGCAACAGAATGATTTTGACAGCAGAAACCCCCATTTTCTTTGTACCAATTGAACCCCAGCAAAAAATGAATTTACAGTAACTGATGTTAAAAAAAAAACAGTTACTCAAGCTACTGGATATGATTTTGGTTGGTTAACTTTTTTGGCATATCTTATTGCCTCAATACATGGATGTCTAACGTTCATCGACAAATCAGATGTTAAGGTATTGAATTTCTTATGATTTTTTTATTCCAAGGTTCCCGGTTGACCTTCCGCCATGTTCTGGAAGTTTGACCTGCACACGACGTCGCACATCGACACCCTGCTGGACAAGGAGGACGTCACGCTGACCGAACTACTGGACGAAGATGACGTCCTTCAGGAGTGCAAGGCTCAGAACAGGAAGCTCATAGACTTGTAAGTGTAGCTATAGGATGAGGGTGTTTTTGGAAGAGTGTATTTTTGCATCAGGGAGGACAATTTGGAAGATTATTTATTAGATGACGTCCTTCAAGTGTGCAAGGCTCAGAAGTCAGAACAGGAAGCTGATAGACTTGTAAGTGTAGTTTGATATGTGTACAGAGAAAACAAGCAAACAAGAATGCCCCTGCAGTTCCAAACTAGTTGTTGTGGGTTTAAAACCTATGCCTGAATGTCTTATACTAGTTATAGTCGGTCCTTCATTGTACGTTTTGGTAGTCCCTTAGAATCTAAGTTAGATAATTTTTCCCACTGAAGCTAACATTAAGAACTCTGTCTATATCTACAGTGACCACCTGTCCACATAGGCCAGATTTTATTGGCCCCTAAGTGGTTTTCTTAAGGCAGGTTTGGCTGTACTAATAAATGGAGTCTAACTATATATGTGTTGTTTGTTTGTTTAGCCTGATTCGGCCGGAGGTTATAGAAGAGTTAGTGAACCTGATCGTTTGTTTGTTTGTTTGTTTGTTTAGCCTGATTCGGCCGGAGGTTATGGAAGAGTTAGTGAACCTGATCACACAGGACCCTCCTGATGATGTAGAAGAGAAGATTCGGTACAAGTACCCCAACACGGCCTGCGAACTGCTCACCTCTGACGTCTCACAGATCAACGACAAACTCGGAGATGACGAGGTTAGGATTCAGAAGGGATACAGCTGACGATTTCTCCTTTTCTTGGCAATTTTCTGCATGAAAAGCATTAAAAGATTTAAAGATGAAAAGAAATTGCAAAGTCGTGTCATATTTGACATTTGGGTTGGTTCTATCATCAGCAACTATGCTAATTTAATAAAAAAATTTAACATTGATGAGATCACATGTAAGATTTAGGAGTCAACATGAAATTGCTCCAATGTTTTGGCACGAAGTTGTAATAGTTTTTCTAGTCATTAATGCATCAAAGTTAAAGAGTATCAGGCTACGCCATTGTATTACCTAAATTGTTGCGATTCCAATAGGTAAAGAAGTAGTACAATGTAATTTGTTTGTTTGTAATTGTTGTACTGTTTTGCAGGCCCTCCTGAATAAGTTGTGGGCTTTTCTGGAAGCAGAGCCCCCTCTGAACCCACTCCTAGCCAGCTTCTTCAGTAAGGTGATGGGCATGCTTCTGGCCAGGAAGACAGCAATGGTGAGTCAAAACACACTGTCTACTTTACTGTTCTAGCTAGGCACTAGTCTGGATGCCAGCCTTGTCAGCTTTAGTGTGCTTTCTCGGTCGCTTCACAGCCAAAAAGACTGGACCTGCACATATTCTATCCGTCTGTCATTTGAATATTTGTTTAGATTTTAAACAGAAGCAATGATTGGCCAATTTGCAAAGCACTTTGGTTGTGATTGGACCATGGTGGTATGGGGTCATCCAATCAGCATCGGCCCTGCCCAGTGCTTGACATTTGAATTAACTCATTACTTGACTTCATCACAAGACATAGAATATGTGCAGGTCCAGTATTTTTGGCAGCAAAGCAACCAAGAAAGGGTACTAAAGCTGAAAGGATGAAATCCAGGCTAGATAGATACAGGGGTGTCTAAGCATTTGTACAGATTCTACTAGATTCTTGTTGATTTCACAAAATTCATACAAATTTTGCTTCACATTGATGAAAATTTTATATATATATATATATGTCATACATCCAGAACTGGAGTTAAGGAACACAACATCATATCTGTATAACTGGTATAACCGCATTTCGGCGTAACACGTAGCTTAAAATAAGCTGACGAAAAATTAGTCTTAGAATGCTTGGACACCCCTCAAAATAAGTCTCTCTCTAGTATGATCTTCACATTTAAAAGCTACAGCCTTACCAAGTTGCAGGCAACATTCTCATTTTCGACGTTTAAAGATCTGTAGATTACTACAGAACAAGATTGTAAAATGTCCTTTTATTGAAGTCTATGATAATAAATTTTCAAAGTGTGAACATTCTAGAGAGAGGCTTATTCATTGGAAACACTCTTCAATAGTGCATTTCGGAAGTTCTATTCTTTTCTTAGTCAGTTTTGGATATTTCAAAATGCCACAAAATGAAGCATTTTTTTGTACAGGAAAATCATAAAAATTGTAGTCTTGAAATCAAAATTGTACTTTTATATTTGGATTATATTGGGTATGTCATGAACAATTGTAGCAAATTTATGTTGAATCTCAGCAACAGTGTCAGTATAGTAGTAAAATGTTAAACTTTTCAGTGTCAGAATGGACTTTTGTTTGTAAGAAGGCCATTGTTATAGAGTGTTTCCAATAACTTAGATTTCAATAGAACTAAATCAGGCTGGAAATACAAACTTGCAAAAATGCTATGAAACAAACCAAAAGATTTTTGGCTAGAAGTTTTTGTATTGTTGAATGTATGATTTTTTACAAGTCATTGTGTTTTGATGAATTAAATATAAAGTCATTAAATTTTGCAATCCAGTGACTCTGCTAATTTAAAGTCTTACTGTACAAAACTGAAAATGTATTTCCAGCCCTAGTTTTCTCATCATATCAAATATGAAGTAAATTGACATTTGGCATAATACATTGTGTAATGTGATTTGTAATTTGACATATACCATTTTTTCATTGACTGCCATGTACATGTAAATTTTGTTCTAAAAATGTTAAATTTACCATAATATTGAATGCATTGATAGCATCAAAACGTGTCTGAAAGGGTGTATGTCTGTCTATTCTTCCAATACATTTTGATGCCATCATAGTCTATCAAATAAATTTCATCTAGTTAAAAAGTCTTTGTTAGTATTGAACTAACTTTGATAGTCTGTTAGTCTAACACTTAAGTATGAAACCAAACCTAGAATATTTAACAAAAGAGTAACAGTAATATAGTCAACAGAAACATAGATGTTAGACATGAAAGTGTGTTGTGATTCAAGTTTATTATGTGATATCTAAAGTACGTATTATTTCGGGGGTTTGTATTAGGACATAAGATAATATTATTGTTGTTCTAACATTTTTCGTGTTGATTTAACATTAACATAGAACAAGTTTTAAACACATTGTAATAAGACAACAATGCTATGTATAGAGACCTTAGGATAAGCATTGTGTAACTATGGGAGGGGAGGGGGGAACCCAGTGTTGTTAGTATATAACATACTTGTGTAGTGAAAACTGTGCATCTGTAGTGTATGGGCACATTTTCCCCACACTGTCCTCTATGTATGGATGTGTGTTGAAGGGAATAGCTGTGGTCCACTGGTTAGTTCTGATACTTTAACCAATATCATGCTATGGTGACACGTTTAGTATGATAGTGGTTGAACAAAACTATAGAAGCACATCATGTCAAAATATTAGACTGTACCCCCCCCAAAACAAGATGGTACGGTCTGTTTCATGTTTTCATAGAACATGCCATTATACAACATATTTTCACAAGAAAAAATGTATTAATACTATTTGAGAAAGAAATTTTAAAGGTGGAAATTGATTTTTGTTGTTACTAATATGTTTTTAGTAGGTTTAACTCTCCAGAATGAAAGCACTCTTGGTCTGACCTAAGCTTATATTAGTATGTCTAGCGTACATGTATAGTTGGTGCATGAAAAAATTAGGTAAGGTTTTTTTGACAAGAAAGCTATATGGTTGGTGCCTGTTTTATTGTATTGGACCTGGTTTAAGATTTACTCATATATAGGTAATGAATCCATGTTAATATCAATAACATTAAAAGTCTGTTTTGAAGTATTCCATCATTATACACTCTAGTTACTTACTTGTTTAGCTTATAAAGACACATGTTTTGTTAGATGTAGTCTGTTGTTAACCACGTTCAGACCAAGAGGGCTTTCCGACATATGACATTTGTTTTTCCAACCCAAACTTCAAGACTGAATACCTTTCTTCCATTTTGTAAGGATAGAAAACTATGTAAGGATAGAAAACTTTCGACTGAAAAAGAAATTGCATCAACGTTGGCCCCCCCACCCCCTTTCTTGTCCCAAAAAGTACAGTTATACAATATTATTGATTAAACATGCCATTGGATAACTTTTGAAGTTGTACATGAAGTACAGAAATGACACCGTGAATATAGAAATTGTACTTGCAAATTAGTTATGAATTCTACAAAAAGAAGTGGCCTATTGTCTTGTAAGTTTCTCAATGTGTGAAACTGTAAAAAAAAAAGCAGTAAGAATTGAAGGTGTCCAGTGAGTTTTGGGTTGGAAAGCGGCATATTTTGTCCTGTAGAAAAGACTGTGTTTTTGTGTTTTTATGAGCGATAGAGCCATGGAATCGCTGCCTGGTTCTGTGTACATGCGAGGTTCTGGTATTGACTGGCGTGCCTGTGTTCTCTCTGTTCTCTTTTCCCCTCACAGCCTCAGCAAGATTGGGACGAAGGTTACAAGGTAGTGGTCGTGATCCCCACAAGCTATCCTCACCCACCTGCCCCTGCCTTGCCTTGCTGCTATGCACAGTACAGTATAAAAAAAGGAAAAAGAAAGAAAAAGAAAAGCCCTAAAGGCTTAAGAGCCGTCAGTAAACGTAATAAAAAGAAAGCTGCCGCAAACGCTAATGAAACTTGTCCCAAGTCTAGGAAGATCACCCTCTTGTACAGTTTTGTCTTATACTATTGACAAGCATAGAAAATTTTCGTTAAAGTGTTGGCTTATTTCAAGTTATAATAGAGAAGTTGTCAACATCTTGTATTTGCAATATACTTGAAAGTCTTTTTGTGGCAACGCCTTGCAATTGTGCAGAGGCATTTTTATAGCATTATGATTGCTCTGAAAATGTGCAAATTTGTACATGATACCCACAGTTACAGAAATGAGAAAAGCACTTGTAAATTTGTGACTGTTTTTAGATGATTGTGGTTCTATGAATGTTACCTTGTGTTCAAAAATGTGCTGCCAAATTTGCAGTTTTTTTTTTATGTTGTGAGTTTTTTGGAGCAAAACCGTGCAAGAGGGACTTCTTCCAGTATTTACTAACCTTCACTCGCAAAAGTTTACATCGTAATATGGAGACAAACTCAAGGCTCAGCACCCAATCACTGTGCAATATTAATATACCTACTTTTATACAAAAGGGCTAGTAAAGTTATACTGTTGTGTGTCCCATTGTGTAATATATGTCTGTGTACCACCACATTTGAGCAAGGGCAATACGTCAAACTCTACTTATTTCTTGTGTTGACAACGTTTGTTTTGTTTTGTTTTGTTTTGACCCTATCTTACTTCCCCTTTTCCTCCGCTTTGCGTTTGTATCCCTCTTACTATCCTAACGCTTGCCGCGTAGACGCAACCGTTGTACCGTCTTTTAAAAACCGTACGGAAGAAGCTAAAATTTTTGCTACGACTAGCTTTTTGCTTTTGGGTACCAGATTTTTCTGGATACAAGACTCTTGTTTCCTCTTGCACTGCCCTCTCTTTTTCTTTGTGTCATATTTGTGTTTTTTTTATTACGACAGTCGTTGTAAAGTAGTTCTAGTTGTATGCAAATCACCACAAGTGCCAAGTCAAAGGCCACACGGTCTAAGTGCCAAAACTCGATAGTTTTCTCCTAGTATTGTGCCAAAAATTCACGTACAGTTTGTGTGTTCCAGCCTGTGTTGTCGTTGTCGCTCTGTCTCACGCCTTCTGTCTCCGTTCTTCTTGCTCTGTCAGTGTTGTTCCACGATGCTGTAAGGAAAGAAAAATCTGTAGGGAACATCTCAATCGTGCAATGTGATTTGCAGACGAAATTTGTACTGTTCCTCAAAAATCGACACAAAAATTTTACTACCAAAAAAATAGGTAAACATGCCAATTTCTTTAGGCGCCTCAGGGGGAGGCATTTTTCAAATGTTGTTTAGAAAGAACATTTCAACTTCGAGACTGTCCCCATCCTCGGTATACATCGCATACCTTGAGAACTTCTCTGCAGATCCTGTTTGTTTTTATGGTTTGGATGATTTTAATTTCCCTGTTTTCGTTCACTAGCTCCTGTGCCAGTCCTTCTCAGGAAGCTGGACTTGAAAGCTGTGGCAGCTTTTTCGTTCCCTCTCTCATATATATAACATAGAAATAGAAATATACAAACAAGAAGCTAAACTTAGTCTAGGGCGAGATTAAAAGGTTGTTTTGTGTGGGATGTTTTTGCAGATGTTGGATTTCCTGAGACAGAAGGAGGATGTGGTAGGGTTGCTGATCACACATCTGAGCACGTCGGCCATCATGGACCTCCTACTGCGCCTGCTTACCAGCGTAGACGCACCAGAACTACGGACAGAGATGCTCCAGGTAAAACTCACAACACAGCTGCTGATCCATCGAGCTTCTCAGGGCCTTAACCTGTGTTACACAACCTCTCCATTTCAGGGGCTGATTGAGCCTCTTCCCGAGAGCTTTTGGCCATTCTTAAAATAATATCACCTGGTGGAAATTAGTCATAGGAGGTCAGGATTCGTTAAAAAACTCATTGGAAATCAGTCCAATAGGAGCTCAAGATTCTCTGTCACTTAGTCGTAAGCTCGAAATCCTTCTTTTTTTCTGCATATCTGCACTTGTGCAGGTAACATTGAAAATTGCCTGCATCAGACAAATTTTACCTGCACCACTCAGATTTTGAGAAGTATGGATCATACTAAAAACTGTTCAGAAAGCATTGCCATTATTGCTTTTATACTTAGTAGGCACTGAAGAAAATAATTGATGATGTGTGTAAGATGCAAATTGAGTGCTTTTTTCTTGCATATCTGTTTTGTGTTGTGATCTGAGATCCAGATTTTTGTGTCCCACAGTGGTTGGATGATCAGAAGCTGATCCAGAGGCTGATAGAGGTCCTGGATCCCACAGGAGACGAGGAAGTAAGATCCAACAGCACACAAACAACAATTTGCGTACTTTTCCAAAATTCAGGGCTCGAAATTAATGGTGTCCCAAAGGCCAGTGACCACTAACACAACAAGCTGGGACAACTAAAAAGACAATTTGGGACATTTTTGGGATAACAGAAAAATAATCAACATTAGAATGTCAGCCCTTCTTTTGTTTGGGTCGGGAAAAAGCTCCCCAGAATTTCCCGTTTACTCTGCAACTATAGCGTACCTGGAAGTCACTTCCTAAAAAACAGGTTGGGACAGTTCATCCTCACTTCAGGACAATTGAAATTTATTTTCGAGACAGTGCTGGGACAATAGGAAAAAAAGTTAATTTTGAGGCCTGATTTTATAAAGAGTAGTTATAAAGACACACACCTAGACCTGTTTTTTTTCCCCTGAAAACAACCAGAACCAACAAATTACATTGGTGTGGCCTAACTGTGAGATTGTTTCCCGTGTGTTCAGAAACACAGCAATGCTGCCCAGTCGCTGTGTGACATCATCAGACTGAGCCGAGAACACATGTCACAGCTGCAGGAACAGGCAGAGAACGACCCACTTCTCACCACCATGGAAAAGTAAGGTTTTAGTTTTACAAAGAGCATCAGTGTGATACCTTTTGGTGAATTTGATGCTTACATTCCAGAAGAACTTTGGTGCCATACCTTTTTTTCTTGTAAAATTGTTTTTCACATATTAACAAAAAAGCCTTGGTGGGATGCAAAGAACGTTATAGTGATACCTTTTGTGAATTTGATTCTCACACTCAAATACATTGGTGTGATGTAGATTTTCTCATTTAAAGAGAACATTGATACGATACATTTTTGAATTTGATTGTCATTCACAGAAACGTTAGTGTTATACATTTTCTGTGAATGACTGTCCCATTTCAAAAGAACTTCGGTGTAACACCAGTTTTTGTGAATGTGATTCTCTTATTAGAGAAGATAGAGAAGAAATAACATTAACAATACTTAGTAGTAGTCTTCAGGGTGCATGTATCTGTGTATAAGCCACAATAGAAGCTGCACACGACCACAACACCAGACCTAGAGACACTGCTACCATCGTTTTTCAAGATATAAGGATGCCTACTACAGTACTCAGAAAAGAAACGCAAGGAGCTTAGAGAGCTCGCAAGGCAGAAGACACAGTGGAAAGAGATGAAGAAAGACTGAATGTGGCTACAGGGCGATTCCACACGACTGTAGACACGGAACACAGTGGATGATGATGATGATGATGACTACAGTACTACGTAACAGTACTCCTGTATAACATATTTACACCTGTTGCAGACAAGAGACAGTAGAAGAGCTGCTGAATGTGATCCTGAACGGTGAGAAGACAGAGTCAGCCCTGGTCAACGGCATCTCTGTCCTGCTCACACTACTGGAGTTCAAAAAGCCAGGGTTAGTTCTTCTGCAGTCTGTTCTCTGTTTTTCATCAGGGATTTGATAACTGTAAATCTTGAATTGTTTGCTATGGATTTTTTTATTCAAGAGAAGCTCAAATTGTCCTGTAGGCTTATTTTCATTCAGGGAAGAAGTAAGGGTCAGACAATATATAACAAAGATACAGCTTACAAAATTTTTGCGATTTTCATGATATTGTAAATGTTTGGTCCCCGTATTTTACTACTTAATGCTATGAATTGTTGCAATTGTGAACTCAGAACAACACAAAAATATCCTTTTATTAGTTTTAACTCATGTGAAATTATGTCCCAGTGAAAATGAAAGCACTTAAAAAGAGTCAGTGTAACATATTATCTCTATGCAATTCATTAGCATTACCCCCCACCCCCCCATATGCAGACCACAATTCTTTTAATTGTTAAAATATCATTATTGAAACTTTTTTTTTGGCATGTAGTAGTTTTTGTAGAAGAAAGGCCAAAGACCATGGCTATAGTTTTTATGGAAATGGAGCTTTGGCCTTGGTCACTTTTGTAAAATGTGCACTTTTGTATTCTGTCATAGAAATTAGGCATCAAAAAGTATCAATGGCTTGCACTAAAATTGCACCACTAAAAGAATGTATCCTGATTTCTAATCAATTGCAATGTAACCTTAGTTTTTAATATTTGTGGACTTTGTATACTATGACTGCTTGATTTTAGAATTTTCACATTTGTATCTTTATGATTTTTATATTTTAATGAAACTCATAGTCAATCTCATCTCACTAACACATATTTAAGCAGGGTTGGTTTGCAATGATAGAAAAATGAAAATGAAATGGATAAATATGTGGCAAATTTTCTTAAATAGATTTTAAGAAAAAAATTGGCTATATGATAACATTTGTTTGATAGCTACTGCCTGCTTTGAGATAATCATGAAAAAGAATTGTATCATCATAAGATGAATCTAAAAAAGAAATTGTAAAAAAAGTTTCAAAAAGAACAAAATCATCTTTAGGCTCACCTTTGTATCAAAGAAAAAGGTACATTTATACAGCCCCAATTTGGCAATGTACCCAAACCCTGACAGAGACATGTACAGGCTTATGGCCTGATGGAGAAAAGAGCTTTTGAGTTTTTGTGTGCGGGCTGCTGGCAATGTGATCGCTGAGCCATTTCTCAAAGTTCTCAAAATTAGGCTAAAACTACAAAAACTCGGCAAACCCAACCCCAGCCCACCCTGCCTCCCGCGCGCTTCACGCCTGCTCACCGATGTCACCACCATAATGTCGGCACTCCGCTCTCTCCTAAGTTTGCAGTATTTCTGGTCATGCAGCCCGGACGGACAGGACCAGATGACCCCGCTCGACGCCGAGCGTCTGGCCCAGGGCGTGAGTAGCGCCATCCTGGGGATCACTCCCAGGCTGAAGGAACTGCACCAGCTACTGATCGAGCCGCCCAAGGTAAAGGTTAGGAAACAAACAACATTTGTTTTTTTCTTCAAGAAGTTTTAGTTTGTTGTAATAATCATTTGATAATTTTAATGACAGAAGAAAAATAACTGTTGATGATTATTGCTCGAGAAACTGGACAGTGGACCAATCTAGAAAATATTTGATCATCATATTATGCACAGCATTTCTTTATGTCTGATCAAACCTGTACTACTACTAGTAAAATATAAGTTCAGAATCTGTATAAGTACCACCTGACCTTGTTCTTTAAATCTTTATCAAAGTTAGTTTTAAACCTGTGTACTGCAAGTATTTTCTTCAAATCTCTTGAAAAGTCAGTACAGACATTTTCTACTGTCCCCTTTCTTTTGGTCTACTTTATGAAAGTGTCGAAAATATTCAGTACCTACAATTCTGAAAGTGTATTCTTGTACCTGTTAGCAACGTCCGATGCCGACATCTGTTGGTACGATGGACCCTCCGTTTGGGAACACCAGACTGCATGTGTGCCGGCTCATGGCTTCCTTACTCCTCACCAACACCCACCAAGTCAACATCGAGCTGGCAAACCTCGGCACACTCGACATCATGCTGGTATGGAGGGTCTTAGTTTTTAGCCTGGTTACCAAACCTATTATAGCTCCCGAGTCCTACAGCCTCTCCGCGGGAGAGAATGTAGGACTCGGGAGCTATAATAGGTTTGGTAACCAGGCTACTTAGTTTTTACTTCTGCATAAAGGCTCGTATGATGGTCCTAGTTTTTACTTTTGTGTAAGGGCTTGTATACTGGTATGGATTGTCATAGTTTTTACTTATTGAAGACATACATGTAGGAGAACTTTATTGCATGACTATATTGTACTCAGTACAATGGTATGGCAACAAGTATTGGACATAGTACAAAAAAAAACTGTGTAAGGGCTTGAATGCTGGTATGGATGGTTACAATTTTTACTTCTCTGTAAGAGCTTGAAATACCACCTGCATAAGCAGGTTAGTGCAAGGTAAAATCGGAGCTGTGCGAGTATTTCTGATGGCTATACTGAGTCATATACTGAGTTTATATGTACATTTAGGTGTATGTGGATTTTTATGTGCTACATTGACTGTTACCATCTATGAAGTCCATCTAAGAAGTAATGGCAATGGCAAGCTAATGCTTCTTCCTTACACAATGCTATTAAGCTATACTGTGGCCAAATTTGATCTTGAAATATTATGCTCTAAAGATTGCATACATCCTGGAAGTCTAAAATACTGGTACTGATTTCTTGTTGTTTTTTTTCTTTCTCAGGATTGCTTTTTCCAGTACACTTGGAACAACTTCTTGCACACCCAAGTAGAACAGTGTATAAACACCATCCTGACCAACCCCCCTTCAGACGACTCTCCCAACCAGGAGGGCAACCCAGAACCCAAACACCCTCTAATAAACAATGTAAGTATTGTGTGGAGCAGTGCAGGGATGCCACCTCAGCGTGCAAAATGCCCTGGGCAACCAAATTTTACTTGGGGCAACCTATTTTTGAACCTAGGTTGCCCAGTGTGCTACCTGAATTTTAAGAATGCCCCTCCCCCCAAGACCATGCCCACTTGGCTTGCACCACTGTATCAGGCAGATGCTTTTTAATTTTAGGTATTAATGGCTATTTCTAGTATCAGTTAACTAAAGGCTGTTAGAAATGTTGTCAAAGGCTTATGTATCTAGTTAATTTGAGAAAAGGAGTAACTTAATTTATGATGGGCAACCTAATTTTTGCCATAGGTTGCCCACTATTTTGTACACTGCACCTAGTGGTGGATGCAGGTACTACACATAAATTGTGACACCTGTTGTGGTGTATTGTGTGTAGCAGTGCAAGGATGACCCCTAGTGGTGGTTGCAGGTACTGCACATGAAATGACACCTGTTGTAGTGTATTGTATGTAGCAGTACAAGGATGCTCCCTAGTGGTTGGTGCAGGTACTGCACATGAAATGACACCTGTTGTGGTATAGAAAAGTAAGTTTGGGAAGCTAGACATTTTTCTATTCTTTGAAGTAGTCATCAGGACTAGTATACCACATCAGATTTTGCTGTTTCTAAAGAGCCTCCTTGTGGATGATGTTGGAATTTTACCAGAAAACTCAGAAAGCTGGGATGGTCATTCATTGTGAAAGGCATCTTATATCCTATTGTTGATATGCCAAACATAGCCTTGAATTGGACATAACTGAATTGATGGCATTTCAGTGCCATAAAACTATATTGAGGCTTGCAAATCTGTACTTCTTTTGCATCTGTTGTATAGTCATAACTATTTGCATTGTTTTTCTTAGACACTGTTGCTTTTAATAACGATGATATTTGTCTGTCGCTGCAGCTTTTGGGCCAGTCGAGAATCATCCAGAGGATATTGGATAAGTGGGAAGAAGATCAACAAATAGAGTAAGTAGTAGTTTCTCTAACAGTTGGAAAGGCTCAAAGTAATTCCTACATATTATACAGACTAGTGGAGGTAAACTTTAAGTTATTTATGTGCTCTTAAGTCTAAGACTTTCTATCCACCATACATGACTCATGAACTATATTTGATAGAACTGTGTAAAATTTTTAGGTTAGGTCCTCCAGTACATTTCTCGGTCTGGCTTCATTGTTGAAGATTCAAGGTCCTTTCCCACTTCTGCTGCAAGCTTGCTGGCAGCTGACAAGGCAATAGTTAACACTCATATGTATACCAAAAATAGATTTAGAGCCCAGATACAGATTAATAGAGAAATAACTGTTAGGCACATTGTGTTTTATACAGAACACAAGGTGGAAAATGCTGAGGGAACTAACTGTTTGACACAATGTGTTTTTATTACAGAAGTCAAGGTGGAAACCGGCGAGGATACATGGGGCATCTCACTAGGATAGCTAACTCCCTTCAAACTTGCCTTGAGAAAGGACCCAATAAGGACCTTGTCAAGGAGATCTTTAAAGGTAAGGTAGAAGAAAGTGTTGAAAGGTTTAAAATTATTAGTTTTAATTCTTTAATCTAAAGCAAATTGAAGTAGATCCTATGCTTATAATATGCAAAGTCCCTAATCCACAAAAAGTAATAATGCAAAAAAAAGTAACTATGTAAGGATGTAAGTTGCCCTGTAATTTTGTTTGTCACTTTAATTTTGCAGAGGTTCCAGAGGACTATAGAGAGAGATGGGAAACCTTTGTCTCAGGGTCTTTAGCTGAAATCAACAAGAAAAATACAGTAGATTTGGTAGGTCTTTACATGTACACTACTCTAACTTGTAGTTCACACTTCTTCCTATGACAGATACATGAGTAACCCAGAAATTACTTCAAATTTTTCACAGACAAATTGGATTGAAGAAGATTGGCAATTATCAAAATCACCATTCGTTGCAAGTTGAAGAAAATGAGAGTGATTAAGATTGAGTGGATGTCTTTCCTGTACTAGGCCTCACAGGAACTCAAGACGTACATTTTTTGTATTCTTCCTATTGGATCTTCAAGTCTCGTATTGTGAATCTTATATATTCACCTGGGTAATGTTTTTTTTATAAGAAAAAACTCTGCTGAACAGATTTCTGAATAACAAAAATGGAAAACACAATACTTACTGCAATCCCCAAGAAAAGCATTGTTTTTTCAAAGCTTTGAAGCATGCCATGCTACTTTCAGCAAGCTGCTTTTATTCTATGGGGGTCCTAGTATTGAACCTTGAGGAACCCCTTAGAATAAAAAGCCACTCATTCCAGTAACATGACTGACACTGTCCTAACTCACCTGCCACTCTCTCCTTCCCCTACCTCCTCCATCTTGTGTGCTTCTCTGGTCCCATTATACTACTCACCAGGCCCTGCCACAAGTAAGTATGTTCTGTCCTAATAGTCTATGGTGAATAATCTTGTAATCTGCCATTGACACCCCCTTTTTTGTGTGCATGTGGCACAGCCTGTGAAAAAACATACGTCGACTGTTCCACTTTCTTCTGATGTAGGGATATCAGTGTTACATAATTTTTTTCTTCCCATAGAATGAAATTGTGTAGATTTGTATGTACAAAATTTATGAACAGAGGAAATTTTTATATTTTTTGTTGTAAAACATGTTTTGTGCTTTGCAAAGACGAGCAAAAGACAGAGAGCAGTGTTCAGTCGGTATGCAGAAACATTTGAGGATAAGGTAACTAACTGGTTCATGTTGAAACTACGGCACTACTTTTCTCAAAACGTAAAAACACCAAGTTGAACAACACATGTAGTGCCAAATCTCACAACTTGTATGTTAATGCATTACTTCCCGAAGTTGTACGATATCACAAAAGATATATCAAATCACCAGACACGAAAATTAGAACTTTTTGCTGTGGAAAACACACTAAAATTGTACTTTTCTGACCCCCAAGTCATTCCCCCTCCCCTTTCCTCCCCTTCTATTAACCCACCTGCTTATACTGATCCCTTAAAACCTTCCACTTAAGAAAACTGTCAGTTTGCAAAATACTCAATATAAAATTGTATTACCATAATGAAAAGTCCATGGTGGAATATACAGTCAAATAGCACTTCAGAATCATTTTGAAAATCAAGAATGACATTGTATCTTTTTTTTTTAACTTTTGGAATGCTCAAAAGAAATGTTGTGGTTTATCTTACGTAGGCAAATCTAGATAATGTGTCACTTTCTATGTCAAACTAAGACATAGCAGGATTTTGCATTCTGACAGCTGTGGTGGTCCATTTCTGTACATTTGCCTTGGGTTTTCATGATAACATTGTTGTTTGTCCATTCCAGTTTGATCTCAATTTTTAAAAAATGTGTTCTCCACCATAGTTTTTTTGTTATAATAAGTTGTAAAAAAAAGTGAGGAAAAAGAATATTAATAAAGTAAAAATAAAGTCAATAATTACATGAATGTAAATGTGACATTCATCAAATTTTCCATTCCTTTAAACATTTTGAATACCTTAAACTATTGTGACAAGCATTTTGAATTTAAAGTTTACAGAGATAGTTAAAGATGATCAATCTTGAATGGTTCTAGGTGTGTTACATGAGTTTTTCTTAGCCGTTTTTCTCCACCCCCTCCCAGGTTGGTAGCCACCCGCTCCACTCCTCTAGTGAAGATGACGACTCGGACTTCAAGGATATCCCCTTTCCTCCCGACTCCTCCTTACAACAGGTGAGCATCTTACAACCTTTCTTCAAGTTTTCTTCAAGTTCAATTCACTTCAGGCCACTCCACATCGTTTCTTGGTTCTCAAAAACTTTAAGTAGACTTGAAATTTACAAAAAACTTACTTACTTAGTTCAAGCTCCTGCTTGAACCAATCCATTGAAAAGAAGTGCAATTACTTAATGGGCCACCCTGTATAAAAATGATGGAAAATAAAATAAATAAATAAAATCCAGAAAGCCTCCTCTATAACACTTCTTCCATGGCCCTTCGAAATTTCTTAGTATTTAGGAAAAGTCACTTTGAAAATAAAGCCTTTAGAGTAAAATTCACTCCCTGGTAGTACAATGTATGCCTACCAGGGTGTAGCTTTTATATTTCCTATTGACTGTCTACTTCGGCAGTAGTTTTTTTTTTTTTAAATGGAGGACCAACAAATTCAATTTTGGTGTGGCTTTGTTTTTTTCTGTTGCTTTTATATAAAATTGGGCAACTAGAAATTTTGAACATGAATTATGAACATTTTGGCTAAACTTCTAAAGATAATCATTCTAAAATGTTGAAGTTCATAAGAAGTCACTGTTTCATGTTACCTTTATTATTTGGTTCTTTTTTGACTATCATTAATAAAATGAATACCACTTGAATGTCAGCCTTTTTATGTACATGTGTAGAAACAATACATGTACTGCATGACATACTGTAACTCTTTTTAACTTTGTTATATTACTGGTTACAAACACAATATTGTGATGTTTTATTGCAATTATACTGTCTTACATGCAAATGCACCCCGATATAACAATACACTGAACTTGCTATGAAATATGCTGAATGTATATTAAATGCACACACTGTATACCTTATAAGACATTATGCCTTGGATTTGGTGTCTTGTGCTGTCTTGAAAATGTGTACAAGACCGTCTTGTTCTAAATCTTGTAACTTGCAAAACCAGTGCAGGTAGTTAAGGTTTTTGCTCTGTTTCTGGTATCCCTTTTCTCAAGTCTAGTTTCTTTACCACTGTTTGAATACAAAGCCAAATTGCAATATCAAATTTATCCGTCACAATTGTTTATGACTTTTGCCTATCTTAATTCAAATTAGAGTAAAAACGAAATACTGTGCTTCAAGTATCTTTACAAAGTTAGTGTGAATTCATTTATTTTGGTGGCATAAGACTTTTAAGAGGAAAGGCGGTTTTTGGCTTTTCTCTGTGTTCTAAAGTTGCATTCAAAAAAATTCTGTACTGTAACAGTAAATGATACAGTATTTGAAAATTCATATTTGCAGTGTCATGATTTTCCAATCAAGAGGCTACTGCTATAAACCGGGGAAAGAAAATACATCTATTAGAAAATCTCCAGTAGCACCAAATATTTAGAAATGTACAACAGTAGCATGACCTCACTACCAGCACTGGTTGTGTGATGTTTCGTAGGGCTGTGCTGTGCTGTGTGAATAGTCTTGACGTGTACTAACACCACTATACATGTAGAACCATACATACATACACACGGGGTGCATCATCAGAAGTGGGGTTTGCTTAGCTTGTGTGTGATCTAGTGTTTGTGGTGGCGGGGGTTTGACTCACCACGTCCACCCGCTGGACACCAATCCAAATGACCACCCCCTATCTCTGGGCCCACGTCGCCCAGGCCTTTTCTGATTATCAGATGCAACAAATGACGTCCACTTTTATTGACCAGTTTGGCTTCAACGATGAAGAGTTCGCAGACCAGGAAGAAAATGTCAAGTAAGTTCATTAGCATGAAAGTTCATCTGTGTTGGTAGTTACATGTTTAGAGTTAAAACTAAAGATCCAACACACAAAGTTCTCTCACCTAGTCTAAGAGCTTTTGACCAGTCAGTCACTCTGGTCTTCCTCAGTAGACTGACTCAGTGAAGCTTGTCACATGGCTTCTCTAAAGTGTAACGTCAAAGAAGCCATGTGACAAGCCTCACTGGGTCAGTCTACTGAGGAAGATCAGAGTGACTGGTTGAAAGCTCTAGGTGACTGAGAGAACTTTTTGTGTTGGATGTAAAGTTTTAACTCTAAACACGTCAAGTAAGTTCATTACTGTATTACTTCAGTTTTAAACACATAACATCTGGACCAGATGTCACCATGGTATCTGGTGCTGTAACAGACGCCCTGTGGTGTTGGGTTACATTTTGTAGCAGGGCAGAGCTGGAGGGGAGGCTTACTGTATATGTAGCTCTATTCAATGTCATCACCTAAGAAATAATAGCAATGGCATCTGAACAGTTTTCAGTATGATCCTAAATTCTGAGCGGTGCAGGTAAAATTTGTCTGATGCAGATAATTTTCTATCTTACATGCACAATGCAAGTACATAGAAAAAAGTATTTCGAGCCCTGTAAATGTACATGTATGCCCTGACTTTACAAGGGCTTGTTGTTCCTAACCTGTATTTCTCCTCTCTCTTGCAGTGCACCGTTTGATAGGATATCTGATATCAACTTCTCCACAAATGCAAATGAAGAAAACGTGAGTTCGTCTCATTATATGCATCTTGATGTCTACATGTAGTTCGTAGGCAAGTCTCAATAGCTGTATCTAAATAAGGCACATTCCATTTTTAAGGAGGGGCAAAATCTATTTTTAGAACCTCTTGTCAAAGACATTGTGAGGTATTGAACTAAAGCTACATGTAATACGAAATTGCAATGTGTAAAAAAAAACCCTCAAAAATATTTAAACTGTTTTGGAAAAAATGGAATATGCCTTACTGCAACAATCTGACTGCTATACAAAGTAGCTTTAGACCTGTGTTAGCTTGTGTCTATCTCTGCATGTGTGTGAACAGTGAAACTTTCTATTTGGCATTTGATGTGAAATCTGGAATAATTTTGCTTCTCAAAACAGACATAGAATAGACTAAGATAAATGAAATAAATTCTCTTTCGATTCAGTGAACAAAAAGACCCTACTGTTGAATTGTGTGTTTCTTTTCTAACACGTGTGTGTTTTGTAGAAGAAAGATAATGTGTTATACCTTGTTGATAGTTAAACAGACTGGAAAGTTTTTGGATTAGTTTTATTGCTACAGACAAAACTGTGTGTTCTGGTGTTTGCATTGTTTGCTATGTACAGCATACATGTACATGTGGTTGTATTGTTTGGGGATTTTGTATATCTTTGTGTGCCATTGCTTATGCTTCATACATGTGTGTGTACATGCATTTCCATGTGTTACTGTATGCAATATCTTGCTCAATGTTTGTATGTTTGTCATTCTTTGTTTCGTTGCATATGACTGTCAAATGCACTGTTAACATCTCTTTTTGTTGTTTTGATACATTATATTTGAAAATTTGAAAATATTTGAAAAACATTAAGAAATACTGTGTGCAATATTCCTGACTTGAAAGTTTCTGTGAAGTTAATATAGAAAAACTACAGTTTTTATTTCATGTGTTATCTCCATGTATATACCACATGCTAATGTGTTGTGTCCCAGTGCTTTCATCAGTTGTGTCTGCATACATACATGCACAATCAGCTGCTGCTGTCTTCAGCTTTATTGATCCCACCATCTTATTGCTGTTAGAGTAATCCCATTATCTGCCATTGTAGAGATTTTCTACCTTTTAATACATGCACTACAGTCAAACCTGTTAATGGTGACCACCCTAGCTATAGACTTCAATGAAAATGGTCACACTCACAGTAAACAGTTAGCCATGCCACTGTATTATTACCCTGTATTCATAATTTTTGGGTCAATATGGAAATACGATGTAGTCTAATGTACAACCAATGAAGTAGCCAGGTGGTCACTGATACAGGTTTGACTGTGGTAGTAGCATTCATTGTTAGAAGTTTCATATCTTTCTTTAAGTTATTGCAAATATATTATTTTCCTCTATCATAAGTTATGTCAACTACTACTAGTTGTATATTTAGTTGTGTAGTAGAGAACAATTTTATATTTTGAACTCCTTGACGTAAAATCACGAAGCTTGCAGTCTCTCATCCATGCACAGCTTTTTTGGCGGGAATTTTACACGTTTAAGTCCTTTCTGTTGACATGTCTATTCTTTAATTCTTATGCAGCCCAACCGAGCGCTGTTCGAAGCCTATTGCAAAGAGGTCATGAGTACCATAGGTCCCAGCACGGTGAGTGGTGTGTACACGGGGAGGGGCTAGCTTCACACATGTACATGTATGTGTACGTACAAGATCTGTACTCAATCCGTGTGGACCGATGTCCCACCCGAGGTTCACCCGTAACCGTGTTGTGTTTTTTCTCTTTTTTTCTGTTTTTCCGTGCAGCCGAATTCGGCGCTGTTTGAGGCGTGCTGCAACGAGCGGATCTCCACGTTTGACGACAGCGGGAGCGACGAGGAAGACGTCTGGGAGGAGAAGGAGCTGACTTTCTCGTCGGTCGTCGAGTCCAGACAAAGGTATGATATTACGTCTGTAGGCTCAAATTACAGGTGCATTTGTAGGGCTCAAATTACAGGTGTCCAGCAAGGGCCTTATAGGTTTCTAGGTAGCGCTCAAATTACAGAGAAAGGAGTGTATATTTGTAGACAGTGTTAGAAATGTCCACCTGCAGTCTGCATTTTGTAGAGACATTTTCGATATCCCAAAAGAATATTTAACAATCTGCAATTTTGCAGGCTGAAAAAGACTGAAATTCTGACCTAACCACACAGGTTATAACATACATATGTGCATGCAGCTACAGTTTGGTTTCAGTGTGTCAGGTTCAGCATCAGTGTTAGAATTTGTGTGAGGTTTGTGTTGGTTAAAGTCCTGTTAATGACAAATCTTTTCTTCTCCCTCCCAGCACAAGGTTACAACCTACTGTATAGGTACATGTACTTACAGTTTGAGTTAGTTTCGGTGTCCGGTTCAGCATTAGTGTTAGGATTAGTGTTGGTTAAAGACTTGTAGATCACAATTTTTCTCTTCTCCTTTCACAGCACGATATCCACCACAAGCAATGACCAGGGGAGTGACGGGAGTGACAACAGCAGTGACAGTGAAGAGGACGCGGAGGACACCCCCTCCCCTCTCCGGTCAGACAAACCCCCTCCCCCCGCAGCCAGCAGCCCCAAACCCCCCGGCTCCCCCGCCTCTCCAAGTGCCTCCGAGGACACCAAGATGGATGTGGACAACAGCGATGGTAGCGGATCCTTCTGCAATCTTAACGTTTCTAACGAAATTAGTGTTTGTTTAAACTGTAATTTCCCACACAAGGGATTGGACGTACCCAGATTTCGTTATAGGGCAGATAGTCCCAATTCTGTACTAATAACTATGAAAGGGGTGTTAGTGTAACGGAAATGTCTTGACTATGCATGATGTACAAAATGACTAATAAACTGGTGGACGTACCAACCACTAAGTGTTGTAGACTTGTAGAACAAGAAATAGTCATGCCTTGAAGTACCAGAGTTATCAACCAAAGATTGGGGTGCTCAAATACATTTTGACAGGATAGGTTTTCATTTCTTTTCAATTTTAGTTTGAAGTCACGGGTTAAAACTTTATCCATGATCATGAACTTGGTCCTTCCCTTCGCAGGCTGGACAGCCACGTTCGACGAAGCTCCCATGGACGCCGCGCCCGTTGCCATGGAGACGGGAGCGGGCAGCTGGGACGACGTCGTCGCGGCGACCAACAAGCCCGGCGGCGCCGCGACGGATGACGGGTGGGCGAATTTCGATAGTGTCCCGCCGAGTAAGGCCGGTCCAGGTCCCGAGAAACAAGTCGAAGACTCGGGATGGGCCAATTTCGCAGACTTTACCCCCTTAGGACCTAGTGACAGGTACTGGTACAGTATGACAGGGAACGTGTAAAAAACGTTGCTGAACAATCGACACCTAGCGCCTAGACACCTAGACATCCCTTAAAAAGCTACAATATTTAAAGAAATTGAGCTAAAATTAATGTGCATGTAAATGTTGTGGTATGACAGGGAAACTTGTAACCATTGCTTTTTTGTGATCTCAACAATCGACACTTAGCGCCTAGACACCTAGACATCCCTTAAAACAGCTGCTATTGTAAAGGAAATCTGAATGTACATGTAAATGTAGCTGTTAAAACGAAAATCCAAGTGATTGTGACGTGACATACAGGAGTGGTTACTGGTCCTAAAAAAACCTTAAACCTACATGTGTAAACCTTAACCTGGACCTGAATAAAAATGACTGACTCGTACCCACTCCTAGAGACATACATGTAGTCTGCTTCTGGCCCTGCTAAGAAACTAGATGGAGATTTTAGCATTGCTTGAAGCATTACAGACAGAATAATGCAAAATAGAAAAATTATAGCCTGCTATATGTACCAGCAACTTCTATATTGTATATTATGTAGTTGTCAGTGAGGCAGTAAGCAATGTTGTAGACTTTGGCAGGGGTAGCTCAATTACTTAATGTATATAAATCTAGTACTAGTGCATGCGATAACATTGTTCCTTTATACGTGTATGTGTAATACAAAATATACATACAAAAGTACAGTGAATTGAGTCGTTGAAGAGATGTATTATTTTGCTATGCTGATTGTCCACATAAATGCTTTGCTATTTCAATTCTCAATGATACTTAGATGTTAAAGTTTTGGCATGAAACTTATCCATTAGAACAGTTCCCTTTGGAAACTAATGTCTCATTCTACATTTTTCTCTGCAGCAATAACCCCCAACCTCGCAGTAGTTCACCGGTAGCCATGGAGACAAACGAAGCTCCCACGGACGGGCTTAGAAAAGGAGTCGCTTATCGTGAGTACAGCTGAATAAAGCTACAATCATAGCTGCATGTCATTTTGGGGAGATCTTGAGGCATTTAGAAGTTTAACTTTAGCAAGAGATGGTGATTGAAATATCAAGCTGGGAGGGAAATTTGCATTAATGAAATGTACTACAGTAACTCCAAATTTTGTGTTTCGTTAACACAAGAGACCCTCTTTTCACACAATTAATTGTTTTCTTCAGCCGGCATTTCTGTGACCCTCTGTCACCTTCCTCAGGGCAGTTCTTACTTCATAGGACTTTCCAACTTGATGTAACTACAGATTTCTTTGGTACAGTTTGGAAAGTAGAATTCTTTCCTTGTTACAAATGTACATAGTTTAAAATCTATTATCAAAGTCTATGTAGTAATGGTAAGATCTGTTTCCTACCTGTTTGCCCCTGCAGTGATGGCCAGTGCCCCCCCAGATCTCGCCACCTCGGTACAACAGTCCACCAGGTTACCTGAGGTCGGCGAGAGCAGCACCGACCCTGAAGACGAGTTCACGTCTTTAAGGTAAGAAATGGCAGAGAATGGGGCTGTGTACCCAATACATGTGTGTGTAAACTTAATACAAGTACAGGTCTGGACCTAAACATGTACATGTACATGTATGTGTGCCTGAACAAAATAGAACAGTCTAGTACTCTTGTCAGTCAGTTTCGAAAGACTAAAGGAACAGTATGGTACAGTTCCCCCAGGACACTAGTGGACACGATGAAATATAGGTAAATTTTCCCTCAATAATGACAACTTTGACAGTTGAGCACTTGAAAATCAGGAAAACTGGTAAATGCTCTCTTTTGAAATGTGTAATTTCTTGAACATTGGTTCGTATTTCAAGCCTTGAAGTGACAAAGAACCTACAAAATGCATGAGCCCCAGTTGAGATTGTCCGGACATTAACAGAGCAACTTATTTCTCACACAGAAATTCCCAACCACTAGCAAATACAGTAGAGGCAATGAACGTGGACGAGCCTCCGCAACAGACCGAGCAGCCCAACAGAACCGGCGGGACGGAGGGAAAGCCCACCAGCGACACGAGACCCGCGGAAACAGGAGAAACATCAGCGGAGGAGAAAACAGGAGGGGCGGAAGGGTCGAGGGAGGCCAGCGAAACAGTCCAGGGGTCGCCGGCTAAGGATGGCAGCAGCTCATTAAAGCAGGGAAATTCTGACAGAGAAACAAGGTAGGGTCTACCATTGAACTTTTAGATATGAAACTTTGCACTGTTTTTTTGGTGAAAAACAAAGTTCTTTCTACAGAACCAGAGCCTAGACAGAGTGTTCAACATCAAAAGGTCCTGGGTTTGAATCTTGCCACGTCAACGATCTTGTGCCCCTAAAACAGGCACTTTGCACAACTTTTCTCACTTTACTCAGGTGGAAATGAGTACCTGGTCTAGTAGGCCGATTAAGGAGGAGATAATTATAAAGGAGGAGATAAAGGAAACAAATTGGTCAATTATGTTAAAGGCATCCAGTGCAATTTCAGGGCAGCAAAACTACATTCAGAATAAGGCAATCTTTGTGATATTGACACATACTGCTTCACATTAGGACATACTTTGTCGGGTTTTCAAGCCCTAAAAACTGCATTGAATGCCTTAAACTTAGATCATTTATTTTTTTCCAGAACAAGTTCTTCCAGCCCCACCCCTTCTCCCAGTGCCTCAGCGACGAAACCGCCCCAGCCAAACACTCCCTCATCAGTCGGGGACAAGGACCAGAGTAACAACAACACTCAGCATCAACAACAACAACAACCACAGGGCACAGAGCAGGGCAGTCCTGGCAACACAAACGACCCAACAGAAGAGCTCAGCCAGAACTTTAAGTTAGTACTGACTTGTAAAGAGTTAGATGTTCAAGGGTTAGGACTGGTGTAACGTAAGTCGTTTGGTGTAATGTAGCCAGCTGCCGCCGCGTGCCTGCGAAGCTGGTGTGTTACACAAAAGGGCTGGTTATACCGGCTATACAGATACAGATACAGAAAGGCGTTCCATGCAATTTTAGGGTGGCAAAAGTGGATTTTCAAAGTCAAACTTTCTGGTCATTACTTTAAATTAATGTCGAATCAATCCTATCCCATAGCATACTGTTATCTGTGATCCAAAAATGCGATGTCGCTGATGGAAAACAGATGCTTGTTTTGTATACATGTGTACTAGGCTGGCTCGAGCTATTTACTGTATGAGTGGTAAATATAGGAGTAAAGAAACACACTTTACGTATAGCTTGCTTTGAAAGAAAGACACTTTACGTAGCTTGCTTTGAAAGAAAAAGACCCTTTTCGTATAGCTTGTTTTGAAAGAAAGAGACACTTTACGTAGCTTGTTTGGGGGCTATTTCAAGTCAACGACCCTAACCACAAGAGCACCTTGCTACATGTACCTCTTGGCCTTACCACCTCTTGATGTTAATTTCCGTTCTCTGTTTTCGTTAGTATCCTCTCATCCGGGGTGACGAAGACAGGGAAGGAAGGGGAGGAGCCTAAAACAGCCCCTCCCCCGGGCTCACCCAACACAGACAACAGCCATGTCAACCAGACGGACCCCCCGACAACCGAGAACTCAGTGGAGATGAAGATAGGGGCAATGGAAACAATGAGGTATGGTCCTGTACAGCTTTAACCCTTGCCCAGCTACTGGGTGGTGAAGAACTACATGTACATGTATGTCTTGTACCAGATACTGAAGATCAGGTGTTTGAATACCAGCAGTTGTTGCTTACCAATTTTGCATGCTACTGGCATGGGTCAATGTCCTTAGGCTTGGCTGTTAAATTGTGGTCCACTGTTTATTGTATTTCAACCTGTATGTACAGCCCAAGAAGACCACTCAGAGGACAAGTAACATCAAATGGATAGGATTCAGTCTTGTCAATGGAAAAATTATCTAAGAGACCACCTAAAAGTGTATAGTAGAGTGGGTGCATTCCTCGGGCTAACTGACGTCTAGCACACCTCAGTTGTCCCTCAGCATGTTAATCCAGCCAGTCACCAAAAAGTGGTAACATTGGCCAGGCGTTCCTTAATATGTAGAGCTGGTCTCTTGTACACTACAGGTACTGTACATGTGTATGTATTGGCCATCTTTTTTGTCAATTGTCCATTTTTTATCGAAAGCTAACTTTGTTGAACTGTTGTTTTCCAGGCCAGAGGGTACGAAACCTCCTGTGGAGACTCTAGTCCCTGCCACCGGTGCTGCTAACGGCCCCGTTTGACTCCAACCACCGCCCTGAAACCTTCAAAGGACCAGGCTCTATTTTTCTAGGCGATCAGTAAGCTGTATGTAGAAACAATTGAGAGAAAACAGAAACATGATGAAGTAGCACTCTTTCTTCACTTCCGACTTATTTTCAGCAATGCTGCTACTGTTTTGACAGGGAACGTAATATAAGGGAGGAGGGGGGGGGGATGCACGCCTGTGGCGAAACAAACCACACAGGTAACCCGTACACTCTAGGAACCCCTCATCTACTGCAGATGTATCTGTGTACAGTACTGTAGGACTTGTTGCCTTTGTCACCCTGCCCCTTCTTTCAGGAACTTACAAGCAAGCAGGCACTTTGTCGTATGTGTGACGTGTCAGCCCAAATGTCACGTTCGACGCTCGAAAACGCAGCGAAACGAAGTAGGGCTCCGTACGAAAAAAAAACAAGGTGCTGGCATTCATGTACAGGTTGAACTCAAACGGTTGAAATGCCATAGGAGAAAAAGTAAAACGATAGACTGTATATCAGTGTACGCAGGTTACTACCCTGTTTTCTAAAAGGTGCTTTGTATCTTTGTCGACTGTGCTATTCAAGTCTCCCACTCTCTCGGATATGCAATGGCTTCCTACCGCGTGCTACGTCTGTACCTTCGCAAAAGTGTTAGTCGTCATTTGTGACACGATTTCTGGATAGGATAAACGATTGGTACATTTTTATTAGCTTCTTTAGGAAAAGCAGGAGACTATATTAACACTTGGTAGGGGGGTGGGCAAAAACTGAGCATACTGGTGAGAGCACTGTTGAAACAAACTTCGCGAGACGACAGAAGAAAGTGCCCTTCCCAACAGACAGCCTTGGTATGATGATGTACATGACATGTAGTCAGTGCTTGCTAGTGTAAAGCTTTTGAATAAAACCAAAGTGGGGTGCTTGAGAAAACAGCCTGTTGGCTTGATACATTTTTTTCCCTTTCTTGCCGCTAACTTACATGTATGCGAATGTACGTTCAAAGTTTGAACCATTGAATCCCAGATCTGTGCACGTGTGGTGTTCATAGAATGGCACAGTGCAACTCACAAACATGAAATGTACACCAAACTGCGATTCAGAACATTTGACAACTAACATTGGAATATGGACAAACGTTAGCAATGATGGACCTGCATCTGTTTATATATTAGTGCTTTTCTGGACTACTTGGGCCTCAACAAGGGCTTTTGTTCCACTATGCTGCTTGCTGACAAATTTTTCTCTCAAGTTTCATCTTTCACATTCAAAATTTTCAATTGCCGTGTCCACTCACATTTCTCTCATGCTTTCTTCATGTTTGCTCCAATAAGCAAAGATATTTCATGTACAAAACAGTACTAGGAGACCAGCTGTCTACTTCCAATTGTACCTGCCCACCCCCCTTAACAAGGATAGATTCTTAACTAAGGTAATGATATATGTAACCTAAGGGGCTGTTTACGTGCAGTGCATTGCAATTTTCAGGGCCTATATCGCTGACTGGCACCACCCTGTTCTTCAATGTCTCATCGAGTTATGCTGTATACTTCTGAATCGAGCCGCTAGCAGTACAATATAAACTATATCCTGGTCTGGAATACATTAATTTAATTTTCAGAAATGTGTCTCATTCTGGTGAGAACGATGATGATGATGATGACTAAGGTTATGTATATTATATCTCTGATGATTTAACGATATGCCAATTAAGAGGCAAATTAATTAATGAGTGCAAAGAAAACGGATGTTGGATTTTTAAGTATTCCACTTATTGTTTGTTATGTTGTAAATGTTGCTGTTTGTTTGATGAAGGGGAGAGCGCTCGACTTGTGAGCGTTTGAGGGATGTGAATGATTGTTCTTTACGTTTAGCAAGTCTTTATATAGTGATGGAAGTGTTGAGCATTGACATGTGTTTAAAAGTGCCACCAAATTTATTATTCTCTTACATTTTAGTGTTTCCTTTTGTCGTATATAGTAGCATGCACTTTTTGTTGCTTTTCCTCCTGCGAAAGCAACCGAAATTTTTACAAGTGCCCCGTTAGATGCAGCTACAACACTTGTACCTCTCTATTCACAATTGCAAAGAGTCTGCCTTAAAGAATTAAAAGTACCGACACTTGTCGTTTGTGAGCCGAAAATTGTTACTGATGTTGTGTGAATGGATGTCTTACCCCATGAAATCTAAAACTTAGAATTAAACACAAGAAAACTGGGAAAAAGTAAATATTATAACAACGGCTTGATGTTCATTCCAACGCTTATTATCAAAATGTAGAATTTGACTCCAGTAAGCTAAAAGTTCACTTATTCGTTCAATTTGGTGCCTGACGATTTGAGAACAAACTTGGATGTAAAGAAACATGACATAGGTGTATTTGGTGTCGAACCCTACATTTAGTTTCAAGCTGTTGGAATGTACATTGATACTTGGAATGGGAAGAAAAGCCTGGATGCTTAGAGGGGAGCCATAAGAGTATTTTCTGTGTGAAGTTAGGTCAAATACATCGTTGTACAGCCACCAACAGGAAAATTCCCTATTCTTGCAAATTGCTGATGAGTACAGTGTCTTTGTATGAGGTTTTTATTATTTCTCTGTTACAGTTGTTTCTTGAAATGAGAGATTTGAGACCGAATATTTGTAGGAGTGATATTAAAGAGTAACAATGCTCAGTGTCTGTCATGTGTGTTGCTTTTGTTTTTATTAAAGGAAATAATGTTACTGTTATATACTCCACACTAAACCATTAAACAGCCTCAGTATGTGTGAAATTGTATGCAGTGTGTGCATAGATAGGAATAGCTAAACATTTTGTTGTTCTGCATGTTTATATGACATGGTCCAACCATACAAAATGACTGGAAGACAAAAGAAAAACGTCATTTAAAAAGTTAATAATTTTATTCGCTTCTGGGTACATAAACCTTGCATCATTAAAACAATCATATATCCAACACTTCTAGAATGATACCAAATCTGTACGAGACAGCGATGTAGAATGTATAAGTCAATTGCCAAAAACTGCAACTGACGTTCTTTCTATTTATTAAAGCATACATTATTGGTGTTTGCGCTCACGTGACACATGACGTAAGCATCCGCCATGTTGAATGTTTAACCTGGACGGTCATAGGTTAACATCATGGCAGCTCTGACGTCACGTGCAAACAACCAATAGGAGGAAGAGGCTACAAATCATACGGGTGATGACTCATTACAAAGCCAATGACATGCAAATTTATGTAAATAATTCTGTCATGCGTGCGATTATTATTGAATGTGCCATAAATAACTGTACATAGCAACATTTAAAAGTACAGCTTCAAATTCCTCTGCCAAACTAGAATTTCATTTTTACGTTGACATTAAACGTAGGGTGAGAAAGAAGCATTTCCACATCATTTATTCTAATCTCTTTCTTATCTACATTTGCCTTATTTGTAAATTTTAGGTCTACCCGCATTTTTGATCGAAATACACCTACAAGGCTACAACTGACACTGGTACATGTATGTACATGGACTACTGTATATGAGATCACCTGTGCCTTTTATGTACAATTGAAATATTTACAAGGATTTCTAGGGCGCCTATAGTACTTTGTCTCAAAACGACATATTACAAAAATATATACAATATAGTTTGATATCAGTAGTTGCATTCGAGTTGGCAAGAAGTCAGATGTACACTCGATTTTGGGATATGTTCACTGTTGATGAGGGCAATTAATTTTGCCCATAACTATTTCTGGCAAAAAATGTGCCATTTTGTTTCTTTGTGTACAATTTTGACATCGTCCATATTTCTTTCTTTTGTAATAACTTGATAATGATTCGTAATTAAGACGAAACCACTTTTTGTGACTTCTGACACTCAAAACTTTCGAAAGATTCCAACACGTCGCTAGGTGACGCGCTTAGACGCATTTCTAACCAGATGGGGAGAGCAAAGGTTTCACACAGCATATATAAAACTGAAAAGGTTGGCATCCAGACTAGATGCATTTTTTGCTCCTTTTTCTATGTTGTTTGTCTGCTAACAGTCGGAGACCATGTAAGACCTGTAGGTATCAAAGCTGAAAAGGGTGGCATCCAGACAAGAGACATTTTTCTGCTCCAAAGCAGTGTTGTTTGTTCGCTAACAGTCGGAGACGTGTGAATACTGAATATTAACACGTGGCTGGCATCAAAGCTAGAGACTTTTTTCTGCTCCTTTTTCTATGTTCCCTGCTCCTTTTTCTATATGTTGTTTGTCCGCTAACAGAGACCATGTGGATACTAAAGCTTAAAGTAAAAGGCTGGCATCCAGGCAAGAGATGTATTTTTTGCTCCCTTTTCTATGTTTTTTTCTCCCCTTTCTATGTTTTTTGCTCTTTTTTGTATGTTTTTAGCTCCTTTTCTATGTTTTTTTTTGTTCGCTAACAGTCGGAGACGGTGTCCCGGGCGCCGAGGTGGATGTCCTCGGGCGCCTCTCCCACCCTGCCCCGCTTCCTGCAGCACAGCATGGCCCGGGACGAGCAGGTGTAGATGGCGGGGTCCAGGATGGTTCGCGCCGTCACCAGCACCATGTGCAGCTGCAGGATAAAGGAGTCGCTCGAGGCGCTGTCCTCCGTCCACGCCTGGAACATGGGAATGGTAGATATTGGCCACTTTAAACCGGGAAAAATACTGCTGCATATCTTGTTTTCATTTCGTACAATTTCACTAGTACCTGGCAGGCTTCAAATGAGGCTCGAAAGACATTGGTCAAACCCGCTAGAGTACAGTTTGCCGTTTGAAAACGTGTATACCGTTTGATCAAGGCAACCATCGTCAGACTTAAGAGAGGCAAACTGTTACCTTTAACGGACCAACTCCCCTAGCATGCTATCTGTCTACTAGTTGGCCAGTGTCTACTACTACTCTTTCCAACCGCCTAGAACGTGGGAAGGATAATGATAGCCACTATAAACAAGGAAATATACTGAAGCAATATGACAGAGACGTCACTAACCAGTAATAGGACATGCAGTAGTTTCATACGATATATTCTGAAACCTCCTAAAGGAGAAAATTTAAATGTGTTGGTCTAAAGAAGAACATTTACCGCATCCGAAGAGCATAGCGATCCCCGACAGGCTTAGAGTGAGGCAAATGTACTTTTTTAGTCGACCGACCCCCATGGCGTGTTTTTACTATTTCTAGCCGTTTTCGAAGTCTAGTAAAGGCTAGGAACCCACTCGATGGACTGTCTACCAGACATTTTGCCACTTTGTACTCTTTCCAGCCGCTTCCGAAGTCTGGCAGAGGCTATAAGCGAGCCTACGATGACCTGACTGCTAGGCTTCTGACCAGTGTCTACTGCTACTCCTTCCAACCGCTTCCGAAGTAACGGTTAGGCACAGTGTACTGAAGTTAGGCGTTACTGGTTCACTCTGTACTGAAGCTAAGTGTTACAGCTAACAATTCAATTCTTCACTAGCCTGGGTGCCAAACCCATAGCACACTGGACACAAAGTATCTCAGTGAGTCTCAGTGTCCAGTGTGCTATGGGTTTGGCACCCAGGCTAATTCTTCACCAGCCCGATGAACCCATATCCGGAGACTACTGACCTGCATGACGGGCAGGACGAAGAGCGGCACCCAACACAAGACGAACACCACCACCAGCGCCGCCACCATGTTAGTCTGTCTGATCTCCTGCAGGATCCCGCCCGACACGGACCGGCTCACCCTGATGGTCCGCACTCTGGGGGCGAGAACGGTGAGAAAAAAAGCGTCTGTTTATGACGTCATGACACTTTGACTTTGTTGGTGTGGATGACTGTGGATGGGTGGAGTGGGCAGTTGACAAGTCCAATTTCAAGTATTAAATCTTGGAATTGTACAGTCGAAAATTTGGGTAAGTCTGATTTCTTGTGTCGGAAATTACAGTTTAAACCTGATTCAGAGACAAGACACCTAACGAGATTTGACAAGACGAGGCTACGAACCTAATAACCATGCAAATCTCTCTCGGTAGTATCCATTGGCCAAATGAGTGTCCATAGCCATTGGATACCGTTTTGCCCCCCAAAGGGATCTGCTTGGGGATTTAGTTTCCACCAGACTTCTGTTGCAGGCTGAATGAATAGTAGAAATCGGCCTAAAAAGGGGATATAATCGACCAGAGAATCCGGCAAGCTGCTCAGGCCAATTATATCCCCTTTTTAGGTCGATTTCTATATACTGGTGGAGCCTATTGGACATTTACGAACCTGGCTACAGGTGACGCCGCTGTGGAAGCCTCTGCAGACGGTTGCTGCTGAGGGCTGGCGGGCGGGTTGTTGGGCGACTGGAACCCCCGCGTGCGGATAGCGCCCACCAGCAGCGCATAGAACACTGCTATAGAGATCAGCGGGGTCGCGACACCAAGGGCAGCGAACACGTACGAGTATGCATCCTGAAAAACATACCATTTTTATATTGTACTCATAAATGAAGTTTGCTATTTTGTCAATTTTACGTTTTAACAGATGGTCACTCTATCGGTTTCTTTGAAAAGTAGTTGGGGGTTTAATTTCTTTAATGAGATACAAGTGCATATCTCATTTTAAAAGAGATTTAATAATAAGAGCGAAATTAATTTTTTCCATAGAGACACAAGCAAAAATAAATAAATTTCAGTACCAACGTCTTAACCCAAATAGTATCCTGACTAGGTGCAAATCCCATCCAATAATCACTTTTAAGAATCCGAAACGCCAAACTAACTCTGGTAGTTGATGTTACCAGTTGATTTTACATGGTATCAAGGCTAACCATATCCCTAACATTAGGAAAACTGCGGCCAAAATAGATCAAGTGACGCGCAATTCCCTTCCAATCTGGACCAAAGTAATTTTGTTTGAAGAATACGTCCGCAAAACGGGCCATCTATTCCACGGTTTATGAGCCGTGGCGTCTTGACTTTTTCATTTTGGTCTCTCCTACGCAGAAAAGGCACGGGATCGATAGACGCACGTTACCTTGTCGTCACCTAATTCCGGAAACCAACAGTCCGTGATGTAGACCGGCGCGGGTTCGGTGGAGTTTCCCATGTCAAGTAGGTAACTCTTGCCGCTGACGACGTCGTACAGACACAACATGCAGGACACGAACCACACTAACACCAACATGGAGCCCGTCTGGCAGCCTGTGGGTGAAAAAAATGTGTTACACATTTATTATTCTCTGTATTCCTTTTATCTTAAATCCGTGTTTGTTAATTCTCATTTCTGTTTACCGAATGAAGGCATTATTTTTGCCTTGTTTCGTCTTCTTCTTCTCCAAACCAAGAAGGTCAATGACCTGAACCAGACGTCTGTCACCATGGTACCTAGTGTTGGGTTACATCATGTTGCAATTTTATAGCAGGAGGGATTTAGTCTGACCTGTCTAACCATGTATATGAATGTGTTTGAGTAAGAATTAACAGAGCAGACCTGCGAAGCTAAACATTATGCATTTGCTTTACTGGTATGTTACCCTGAAGAGCATAATACCGGCTATACAAATACTATGATAAGGTAACATAAATGTAGGTTCAAATTTATCTAGAATATGCAACGGTTTATTCATTTAACGTCGCGGACAATTCGTCATAATCACGTGAGTGCAAACACGTGACAATGAAGTGAGTCGGATCATGTACCCTTACTGCAATGGACGCACAAAAAATAAAACAAACAAACAAACAAACATTGAAGCGTTGACTTTCCATACGAACCTTCTTCTTCTGGTTGAGGGCTCCAGCACTGTGGGGGTAGGGATATTGGATGGGGTGGTCGATCGTACAAGTTTTTTTGTGTGTATATTGTGGTCTGCAGCTCCTCAATGGGCAGGGGCGCCACTCCCTGTCCGCCACCGAGAGCAGGGTGGCGGTGAGTACCCGTAACTGTTCTTAAGAAGTACTAGTACATGGTGCTAATGGCATCCTTGAAGGCCTGTAATGTCTTGGCTACAACAATATTTACCTGTGAGTTTGGGCTTGTTGAACTTGGCCGTGGAGCGGTACCGTTCGTACGCCATCGCCAGCATGGTGAAGACTGAGTTGGTCAGACACAGTTTGGGCAGGACCATGCACAACTTACACCCGAAAAGTCCCCCTACAGAAATACAGGAAGAAACATGTACACATGTTCAATGCTTTTTCTTGTGGTTGTGGTTGCGTTTGTATGTTGTACGCATTAGAAAGCCCCCCCCCCCTACAGTTTGAAACTCCTTGGTAGAACCATGCACAACTTACACGCGAAAAGTCCTCCTACAGAAATACAGGAAGAAAAATGGACACAAGGTCAATGTTTTTCATTGATACATTAAATTTTGTGCTTGCGTTTCTATCATTAGAACCCCCCCCCCCATAGGGGACACTCACGTATGATCACTACAGAAGATATGGAGAGAAAAATTAAACTTAAACTTTAAAAAAACTTAAAACTTAAAAATCAAAGACAAGGACTCATGGGTTATTTTAGTTCCAAATCAGGGTTTATTCTTTCACTGCCTGGATGGGGTCTTACCTAACGTTTCCAGAAAAGTTTACGCTGTAAAAAATTGTTGATGCCCTGATATCGCATTTCCTCCCTCTCAATTTTCTTTCACGCATCAATATTTGTCGCTTTCTTCATGTACACTGTTTTTAGCCCCTCCCTGAAGTCCAACCTTCCTTCGGTGCCACCTCTCGAGTGCTTTGACGACATGATTAAAGAAGGTGCGTTAGAAAAACACTTTACTTAATAGCGTGGCTCTTACCAGCAGTCAGAGGAGTCATACATTTCCTTATCCTGATAGATGCGCGAGATTACCACTAAGTAATTTCCTATTATTCACGCCTACGCGCTCCCTAGCATTAACCATGGATAGCATCAAATCCCTTAGAAAAATAAGTACCATTGGGATCGCATGTAAGTGCGTTGTTAGGGCAAGCCTGGTATCACTAGCGTCGCTAAAACGTACCTAAAGCGTTTGTATGATTGTTATATGGATTGTTATGGGGAAACCTTTCCACCGCTGACGTTTCCCCAATGATATAGCAATATTGATAGTGATTTCGATTTTCAGCCAAGTTAGGAACGAGTGGAAAATTAACAACACCACGATTTCAGCACCAAGGAAAGGGACAGGGTATTTTACTGAAATGCCGTATTCCCGTTCAATCTTTCCATATTCTATTGCAATTTTGCGAATGAATGATAATGCTACCATTATCATTGTCAATATTACTGTTATTTCAGTATAGTTTTCATCTTGGGACTTTCCTTATTGATGATAAGTTTCTTTACTCAATGCTTTTTGTTGTTTTTCAGCTATTTAATCGTCATTTTAGTCTATATGGTTGTAATTGAGAAGCGTACATTCAAGGGATCACTGATGCTCTTAGTACTTCATCCTAACATATATTTCATATTGTAAAGCTTTGTATATAAAGTTTATCTATTTATATCGAGAAGGTCAGCTGGTAGATGTTCCTCCCTTAACTAACAATGTTGACATTGACCAAACGTCTGCCATATCTATACATCGTTTTCTGCCATAAACATTGCCGTTATCAGTAACTGTCACAATATTTGGCTATCTCCTACAACCCCACCAAGCCTAAAGGATGCCCCTATCACGTAGATGGCGCTGTAATGGATAACGTTTCAAGTCGAAGCTTTCGTTTTAAGCCACAGGGTTCATTTCCTGTTGATACTGGCATCGCTCACGGCCGTACGCGGAATCTATAACTCAATAGTAGCCACGCAGGTCGATTTCTCTGCACGGTGAATTCGTCGATTTCATTTCAATCAAGACATTTGTTTAGATTAAGGCTGCCCGTGGTAATACGCTTTAATTAAAACGCGCGTATCTATCACGTGTGTACGTGCTTTAGCTCTTTAGGCCTAGGAAAATTAAATGTTGTGTTTCCCGTTGCGGTCCTGAAAAATTTGGCTCGGTAGGTAGGGATTGTCTTTTTCACAATGTTAACAATAGACTAGAAATCTCTCACGTGCACAACGTATATACTAGTTAATATAAGGATAAAAGATCTCTCGGAAAAAATAAAAATATTAACTTTGATAAAATATTTATACTTAAACATACAACGGAAGTTCAGCTACTCTGGGGAGCTTTCGAGACACACTCTGTCTTTTCATCAACCCGATTCAGATCTCGTCTTGGAGTTCTCTTGCCACGTGACTTGATGTGATAATCACGTGACAAGAGACAGTCATATACAGGTTTTAGGTAGTGACGCTAGTGAAGATATTAACTTCATAATTACAGGATTAACATGCACAGTTGACTCATTTCTTTAGCACAAGACACTACTGCATGGCATGGCATAATACCAAGGCAATGGGGAGGGGGTAATTGATCCCGAAACTATTGAAAAGCGCCACCTACCGAAAACTCCCGTCCCCCGCAGCAGGTACCTCGCCAGCCTGATGGGGACGGTGACCCCGGCGAAGGTCAGGTCAACGAACGACAGGTTACCCATGAACCAATCAGAGGGCACGTTGCGCGCATGCGCACAGATGATCACCAGGCAGATGACCAAGTTGGACAGGGCTCCAATCGATGACGTCACAGTCAGAATCACGGTCAAAGTCATACTGGGACTGCAGAGAGATAAAGTCAAACAAATTCTTCACGGTGGCACATGGTTATGAAGGGTAATCTATATAAACGTTTCTGTCGTGTGGCGTAGCTGCAGAGTGCTCGACTCGGAACCAAGAGGTCCGGGGTTCGAGTCCTGACATGCCACCGATCTTGTGCCCTTGGGAAAAGCACTTTACACGACTTTCCTCACTTCGTTCAGGTAAAAATGAATATTGTATTGTCCTCTGTGTTGGTAGCGGCGTTCATATAAGTTGAAAAAACTTGAGTGTGCCGTCACCACGTCTTGTGATTATATGTTGGAATATAAACAAAGTTATGAAGGGTAATCTATCTAAACGTTTTTAGAGCTCAGGAGGTGGGATTTTTAAATATTAATGATGTATAGCGGCGGCAATTATTGATAAAGATGTCAGAAGGTCCGACATCCTTACGTTTGCGCGTAGATACGCAGCCGCCTGGGTGTTTGTCACTGTCTAGATAAGTCACCCCGGGTTTGGATGAGTTATGGGTTCAGCCACTATCGCGGCAAACCACTCTACTACAGAAGGAGCGACTGTGAAACGCAAAGGAACAGGAGTGCCAAATGGCTGTCCGACTTTGTAGGGGCATGTCGCCACCTCCTCTGACATTTGGATACAGACCAAATAACATTTGTGCAGACACACTACACGTTCTTTCAGTTCACTTGAGTGTCAACATGTTAAGTGCAACTCTGTCATTCCCATGACAGTGAACAGCTCAACACTGAAGTACCGTCCAAGCAGATCCTAGGGTGGCAAAAGACAGTATGAAATTGGCCAGGCAGTATCCATTGACCAGAGAGGGTCCAATACGCCACCCAAGGCTGATATTGAGTAGCTAGCAACTACTTATGCATTCAAGACGAGAGTTCGGATGTTGCTTGGTCCAACGACCACAAATTCAGTTTAACGGTCACTAATCAATGCCTACTTTCCTATTAATCAGTATCTACTGTATCGTTTTGCCCCCCCCCCCCTTTATGTTCGTCAAAGAAATCGGTCAGACAGGAACGAATCCCAGGGATTCTATGCGTATGACATTTTGTAATAGTGTATTTTATGTGTAGTTTTTATTTTATTTTACTATAAACTATGTTAGGTTTCTTCTAAAATCCCATCGTGTTGTTGGCAGGTATATCTGCACTTGCATTTACTGTAGAATTGACTGTGTGTTTGACATTTGTAACAGTTTACTTTAAACTTTAACGCTTGCTTTTTTTCACACAGTTTATTGGAAACAATATTGGTTTTATTTTTCCAAAACTTCATTATTGCCAGCTAGTGTTGTTGACAGCTGTTAGTAGAAGTGGCTTTGGATCAATTTTGCTGTTCCTTAAACGTCAAAAAAATTAAGAGAAAGAAGAATGACGTCATACGTACGTCAGCATGTCTTCGTCCTCGTCCGTGGAGGCTGTCGTGCTGACGGTGTCGTCCATCGTCACTGGTCCTGCGCACTACGCTGTCGTAAAACTCTGTCGTAAAACACCTTCGGGTCGGTCGTAGTGAATGTCACCAAGTTTGCTGTAAATAAAATTTCAAATATTATAAAACACTTAGGGATTATTAACCATATCTAAACTTGGGGGGGGGGGGCTAAAAGTGCCTGCGCCAACTGTGATGTCAGATAACGTCCGAACGACTTGTGCTAGGACCCGCAAACTTGGTGACTTTTCCTAATATTGTTGCCAACAATTTCAAAGCAGAAACATAAATTAATTATTTGGTGAAATCCATATAGTGAAGTCAACATGGCCTTACATGTACAAAACGGGTGTGTTACGCCCCCAAAAAAGTAGTTTATCGGTTATACAAAACAACAAAAAGAACTTAAACCGGCTCTACTTTTTCGACAGCGTGACAGATAAAACAGATCATCACTAGAATGCTTTGAACAAATCCTGCTATTAAATGTGCAAAGATTGGGTGCAACAAATCGTTCGGTGTAATATTCGCTAGCTGCCGCCGCGCCGCGTGCCTGCGAAGCTGGTGTGTTCCTCCCAAGGGCGGTTATACAGATACAACTACCGTCACAAGCCGTGCCGAGATGACACACGGTTGAAGCCGCGCCTGGTGCCACCTGCGCCCCGCTCACAGCGCACGCCACCGTGAAACCGTCTGCTGCCGACTATTAATACGGTGTCCCCGACGTGACACCTATCGATTAACATTTACAGATCTCGCCACCTCTCGCTGGACCGTTAATATTTAAAACTGAACGGCACCTGCTTCCTGTTTCTAAAATCCGTTTTTGAAGGACTGGGACCGTTAGGCTAGCCTCTACCAGGCTCCGCGGATCGCTGGAAAAATAGTAGAAATTGG